GGAAAATGTCAAAAGAAGACTATTTTATATGATAAGAAAACTACATGAAATTCAAATTTCCATGTCCGTAAATAAAGTTTTCTGGCACACAACTATACTCATTTACTTCCACGTTATTTATGGCTGTTTTCACACTATAATGGCAGAGTTGAGGAATTGCAACAGACTGTATGATGCATAAAGCCTAAAATATTTACTGTTACGCTCTTAGCAGGAGAAGTTACTCACTCCTGTGCTAAACATGTCTCCAGAACTTTGTAAAACATGTTCCCCTGTAGAGTTCTGTAAGAAATTACTGATCCATGAAAGTAGTGGTGATGTTCTTCTATGAGAATGCATCGGCCTCTGTACTTGTAGTAGACACGAGAATCTTGGTGCAACCAAGTAGCTACTTAACAGGTCAGAAAATTTATTGTCAGTCATTTATTTCTGTTAAGAGTAGAAATAAAACTTTAACATTTTTATTTGCCATATGCAAACTCAAAGCTCAGTTGAGAAGAAAATCATCTTAAATGAAAAATGTCTTTGGTAGTAAGTTTAACAGAACCTACAAAGACTAGTGTCACTGTTTCTGTATTCTCAGTATAGTGTTTAACCTGTTTTTGGTTGTTCAGCAGCTTTTGTTTTTTATTAAACGAGACAAAATTCATATAAAATTAACGATTTTAGCCATTTTAAACTATACAGGTCACTGGTTTTTAGTGTATTCATGGTGTTATACAGTTATCACTACTAATTCCAGAACCTTCCCATCATCCCCAAAATGAAGCCCCATACTCATTAGCAGTCATTTTCCATTTCCGTCTCAACCCATCCCCTAGCAACCACTAATCTGCTTTCTGTCTCTGGATTTGATTTTCCTATTCTGGGTATTTCATGTAAATGGAATTATACAATAAGTGGCTTTTTGTGTCTGGCCTCTTTCACTTAGCAAAATGTTTGTAAGGAATGTCCATGTAGTAGCATGTATCAGTACTTTGTTATGGTTGAAAAATACTCCATTGTGTGTTTATACTACATTTTGTTCTATTCAGCAGGTTTTATTTCCCTTTAGTTCTGTAGTTTCTTCCTCTTTTTCTTAATGTTAAACCGCTTGAATCTATAGCTACCTCTTAATCTGGAGAGAGGTTGACAACAGTGTTTTAGTCCGTTTGTTCTGCTGTATCAAAAATGCCATAAACTAGGTAGCTTATAAACAACAACCATTTATTTCTCGTAGTTCTGAAGGCTAGAAAGCCCAAGATCAGGTACCATGAGATTCGGTATCTATTGACGTTCTGTTCCTCATAGACCGGACTGTCTTGTGTCGTTTTCACATGGTGGAAGAGTCAAACAAGCTCCCTCAGGACTCTTTTTTTTTTTTTTTTTTTTTTTTTTTGAGACGGAGTTTCGCTCTTGTTACCCAGGCTGGAGTGCAATGGCGCGATCTCGGCTCACCGCAACCTCCGCCTCCTGGGTTCAGGCAATTCTCCTGCCTCAGCCTCCTGAGTAGCTGGGATTACAGGCACACGCCACCATGCCCAGCTAATTTTTTGTATTTTTAGTAGAGACAGGGTTTCACCATGTTGACCAGGATGGTCTCGATCTCTTGACCTCGTGATCCACCCGCCTCTGCCTCCCAAAGTGCTGGGATTACAGGCTTGAGCCACCGCGCCCGGCCCCTCAGGACTCTTATAAGGGCAGTAATTCCTTTCAAAGCTCTCCCCTGATGACCTGATCTGCCCTCATGACCTGATCACCTCCCAAAGACTTTCACCTCTTAATACTATCTTATTGCACATTAGGTTTCAACACAAAAATTTTAGGGGGACACAAACATTCAGACTATGGCATACATGAAGGAGGAAGTATATAGTGTCTTAAAAGGTATTGTCCTAGAGCCTGGTTTATTATATCCTTGTTTGTATTTGTTGTGCACAGCACACTGTAGGCACTCATTAATATTTTGAGGAAGAAATGATTCAAAGGAATATCAAACATAGTCAAAATTAAATATGTAAATTTGGGAGAGTTGTATTTATTCTATGAAAGAGAAGTGAAATTTAAGGTGACCTTCAAAATTATCCTACTAAAATGAAGTTGAATAGTGACAAATAGAAACTGATGTACCTATAAAAGCAATATATTTTATATTAATGGCAAAAGTTTAAATTACTTTTGCACCAACGTAATAGAATAGGAAAAACTGTTTGGTGCAAATAAAGCAGAAAATCAAATAATAGGTAGATAGGTTATCCCAGTACTAGAAAGGCTCTTCCGTATGTTCTCAAATCTCATAGTTGTAATTTCTGAACAACTAGCTTAACTCTTTCCATTTTGGGGCAAGGTCTGTGTTTTTGTTGTTGTTTTGAGGTATTTCCCCATAATTTTTACCCTATAATTACTCTCACTTTGTTTTCTTTCCTGAGACTTCATAGGGCAGACCAAATTGTAATTTCCCCTGGTAGTCCCTCAAATGTTTCAAGACAGTTTTCCTAATGTCGGGAATCCTTTTTTGTCAAGACCCATCATTCAATTTGTAAAACTTGTTCCTTTGAATTTCTTGAGGGAAGCGGCTTATATGCATTATTAGAAGAGGGAGATGCTCAGCAACTGTTTTCTTGATCTTGAGGAAGTTAAGTAAGAAGGAAGAAAATCAGTAATTAAACATAATGAACTTGGCAACATTGTATAATATTGCAGAGGCCTTGGTGGTAAAGGTTTGAGATTCTATAGTCTGAGAATTTTTGAGAGGGGATCATGATTTATTTATTTACTTGAAGACAAAGTCTCTCTGTCATCCAGGCTGGAGTGCAGTGGTGTGATCTCAATCTTGGCTCACTGCAACCTCCGCCTCCTGGGTACAAGCAGTTCTCCTGTCTCAGCCTCCCAAGTAACTGGGATTACAGGTGCCCACCAACATGCTCAGCTAATTACTGTGTAGAGACAGGGGTTTCACCATGTTGGCCAGGCTGTTGTAGAGCTCCTGAGCTCAAGTGATCGCTCGCTTCGACCTCCCAAAGTGTTGGGATCACAGGCTTGAGCCACTGTGCCCGGCCCAGATTTGAGTGATTTAGTTCAGTGGCTCTCAAACTCTTTGGTATCAGTAATCCTTTACACTCTTAGAGGACCCCAAAGAGCTTTTATTTAGTTGTGCTGTATCTACTCTACCATATTATAAATTAAAATAGAAAAAATTTAAAAAGGATTTTAAAATGTTAAATAAAATAAGCCCTATATATGTTGGCATCAATAACATTTTTATTACAAATAATTATTTTCCAAAACAAATTTTAAAAATTTATTGAGAAGAGGGGCATTTCCACATTTTTGTAAATCTAATGTCTGGTCTGAAAGAAGATCACTGAATTCTTTTATCTGCTTTTCTATTTAGTCTGTTACAATATGTTGTTTGGGTTGAAGTATACGAAGAAAATTGGCCTCATGCATATATGTAGTTGCAAAATGAAATACTTTATAGGCCACAAGAAAAGATATTGAGCACCCTGAAGGGTCTTTATACCACACCTTTGAGAACCACAGTTTTAGCAAACCATGCAAAATGCAGCCCTCAGACCAACAGTGACAGCATCTCAGGGTGCTTGTATTTAATGTAAAATTTTGGCCCCATCCCAGACCTGTTAAATTAAAGTCTGCATTTTACATAGTCCAAGGGTGATTCATGTGTACATGAAAAAGACCCTTACAGTCTTTTTCAGTTCCATATACCTTTATTTGGTTAAATAAAAAGTAAGCTATATAGTATAACACCAAAATGTTATTTAAATAAACTGTTGTTCAGTCATTCATGTAAACTTTTAAGTAGCATTATAAGTAACCAATTTGACTTAAAAATTATAGTAGTATTATAGCATTTATTTGTAATTTTGTATTTTTCTGCCTTTTTGGTTGTTGCTTTTATTTTATTTTTTATTTTATTTTATTTTATTTTATTTTATTTTATTTATTTTATTTTTATTTTGTTATTTTATTTTTTTTGAGACAGAGTCTCGCTCTGTCACCCAGGCTGGAGTGCAGTGGTACAACCTTGCCTCCCTGCAACCTGCACATCCTGGGTTCAAGTGATTTTCCTGCTTCAGCCTCCCGAGTAGCTGGGAGGGACAACAGCCATGTGCCACCACAGCCAGCTAAGTTGTATTTTTTGGTAGAGACAGAGTTTCATTATGTTGGCCATGCTGGTCTCGAACTCCTGACCTTAAGCAGTCCACTGGCCTCGGCCTCCCAAAGTGCTAGGATTATAGGTGTGAATCACCGTGCCAGGCCTGGTTGCTTTTTTAAAAAGGAAAACCAATAAATCAACCTGCAGAAAATGTGGAATAAAAAGTTTGAAGAGTAAGTTTATTGGAACTGTGCTAGAATCCCTCGTTTCTAAGGATGTTGCAGGTGATGTACATTTGTACTTTATTTTTCCTCTAAGCTGTGAAAATTTAGTTGTGTATGCTCTACAATCCTTAATACCGCACTGTCGATTTCCATACTTCTTGTCTAGGAAATACTGTTTGGATTTTACCAATCTCCATTCCCATCTTCTGGCTTCTAGTAAAAAATAAAAAGGGCTGTGGTCTTTGTTACTTTTCTAAAAGCCCTCTCATGTTTTGGGTGCCAAGATAAAAGTGGAGGGTTTAAACAAGTTCTTAGAGGCTGGGCACGGTGGCTCACGCGTGTAATCCCAAGCACTTTGGGAGGCCGAGGCGGGTGGATCACGAGATCAGGAGATCAAGACCATCCTGACTAACATGGTGAAACCCTGTCTCTATTAAAAATACAAAAAAAATTAGCTGACCGTGGTGGCATACGCCTGTAGTACCAGCTACTCAGGAGACTGAGGCAGGAAAATTGCTTGAACCTGGGAGGTGGAGGGTATGGTGAGCCGAGATTGTGCCACTGCACTTCAGCCTGAGTGACAGAGATAGACTTTGTCTCAGAATGATAATAATAATAATAATAATATTAGATAATACAATGATTTATATAAGCAATCATGATGATTGTGTGTTGAAATAGGCCTTGAAATACTGTACCTTCTCTTAAGTCTGCTTGGGATTTAAAATTTTAATTAGTAAATTTAACTAATTTAAAAGTAATGTTAGTGTCAGTCTGCCTGTTGCATACTTTATTAAAGAAACAGGTGTGATTATCCATTGGAAGAGATCCTAGGGCTTCCTGATGCAAACACACCCACAGACTCCAGCCACTCTGTAAATTTCTGATTTTCATCCTAGGTCTATTATGTATACCCTGACTACTAGTAACCAGTAAGCCACTCTCCCCCATCTGTAGGTTTAGTACTAACTTACAAAAAGAATACAAAGAATTTGAATTTAACAGCTCAGGATTACCTTTTTAGGTGGAAGAAATCGGCTCTGGAGTTGGATCTGCTTCCATTCAAATCCCATAATGTCATTGCCTAGCTGTGAGACTGTGAGCAAATTATTTAATTCTCTGGGCCTAAAGCATTTGTGAAGATTAAATGAGAAAGGCGAAGTGCCTGGCATACAGTTATTAATCAGTACTTAATAGTTATCCCCATTATCATCAACATCATTATTATTAATACATATTTAGTAGTAAAATAAATTATCCCTTTTTCCATGTATTTTAACCAGTGACATTCAGCAAATTGCATTAATTTAAATGTGTTTCATAAGTGTAACATAAAATCAAGCTTTAAATGGGAAAATGAGCTAATATTTATTTGTAATCTGTCGATCGCCTTGCAAGGTACTTTACATATACTATTGTAATTTTTTATGTCATGATAAATAGAGTCTTCGTTTCACAGGTAAGAAAATAGACTTAGAGGTTAAGCATTTTGCCCAAGGACATGCAGGAGAAATAATAGTAGTCAGAAATCAAGGTTCTCTTAACATGACACTAATACAAACTGTAACATTATTTCCTTTACCTCTTTTTTTTGTTTTGTTTTTAACCTGTTTTCTAGACTGCAAGGAAAACTGAGGGTAAAAAGTTTAGGAGATGTGAGTAGCATAAGTCTGGTACTGCAGTTTTGAGCTCTGAGTGAGTAAAGGTTAATTCCCCCTATTTAACAGAGAAAAACTTCTTAATTGTATGCTATACCTGTAATATTGGCCCAGTTATCATGAAAGTCTATGCCACTGGTAATGAGAAGATCCAAGTAAAAATAGTAATATATTTAGCAGAACTTTAGTCTGCTTTTAAAATAAAAACTGCAGCAAGCAGTGTCATCAACTTTTTTATTAAGGATAGTGCATTTGAGGTTGGAGCAGTTACACAAGCTTTCATGTATTCAGAGAATAACGTGCCTTGGGGAATCATGAGTAAGTTAATTTCCTTTGTTAGAGCTAGCTTGATTTGGTAGGGAGTTTGAAAAGGCTTGTTTTCCAATGGGATCATAAGGTATGTTCAAATTCCTGTAAAGTAATGGCTCATACTGGTAAGAATCTGGCTGGATCCAGCCCTGTAACAACCAACTTAGAAATAATGGGGATTTTTAATTACTTTGTTTGTGTAATTTGACTTTGTCACCAATTCCATTAGCTTTTGGATTGCAAGGTTTGAACATTCTGCCTGGGAAAAACAGAATTAAAGCCATTAGGGTAAAATTCCTTTTAGTTTTTATATAACAGATTGCAATTCACCCTACTTTTTTACTGAAACAAGTGAAGCTGATTCCTGATTAGATGTTGTTTGAAAAGTTGAAGGAAACTTTGTATTTATTTCTTTAGCAGTAGAATTTGTTGTGCTATCTCAGTGAAAATCCATTGGAATTAGCTGAACTGGTTCCTTAATAAATTTTGTTTCTATGTCCATCCAGCAAATTTAGATTATAAAATGTAAAAGAAAAGTTCAAGTATTGAGGAACATGCATTTCAAGTATCTTAGGAACGTTTTGCATGATTTTCAGAAGCATTTCATAATTCTGTGATTTGATTAAGATTAAAGGTGATAGCATTCTCAGTGTTTTAGATACTAAAGAATAATTATGGAATCCTTATTTCAGAATTCCTTGAAAAAGGTGAACTTACTTATTTACCCTGAATATTAATCTGTAATTCACAAGGCAGTAGACTACAGAATAAAAACTGATAGGATAGAGAAAGATTGTTTTCCATATTTAAATACAGCAGTACTGTTTTCTGGCATAGTGTAAATAACAGATGCTGAAAGATTCATATAGATACTTTGTAATTGCTGCTTTCTCTAATGGATTATAGGTATATATGATTTGAGATACACCTTGAAAGAAGCATAAGACTATGTTGACTGAAAAAAGGGGGCAGAATAGGAAAAGTATTCTTGTTGGTAGAAGTGTTCACTGAAGTATTCAGTGAACAAGTAACCAGTTTGACTGAACTTACTTTGGGAGATATTGGATAGAGATGTAGGTGGAAGTTAGGTTACGATTTTCATACCACAATTAAAAGCACAGTAACATGGACTAGAAATAACATTAAACTAGACACTGGAAAATCTGGATTCTGGTTTTTGTTTTACCATTTATTAGGCCCGTGCTTAACTGGAATATAGATTTGTATTTGTCTTCTAGGTGCTGAAGGTGATGCAGTGTATCTAGCAGATTGCTTAATAGCTGTTAGACTGGATGAGACATTCTGTAGTCACCAGTTGAATTAACGGATCAATTCTAACTTTGACATAGCATTAATCTCTGGGCCATATTTCTGTTGTTTGAAGAAGGGAGGACTCTTAATCTGGTTCATTCTAGATCTGTGATCCTATGATCATTTTGTAGCTGTGGAGAACTATTAACCATTTTTGAGCAGTGTGATTATGAGTTAGATGACACCAGATGATTGGAAATTTCAGATGCTTAAATGGAGTCAGATGGCTGGAGCTAGACACAATGTAAAACACAAGTTGGAGATGAAGAGTATGGAAACATGAGGCCCATCTTAAATTGGTCTAAGCTTAAAGAGATGAGGTATTAGAACTCAGGACTTTGATGGTCGCTTTTGTAAAACAAAAACAACGACTTGAGAGGTAGCAAAGAAGCCAGCAAAAATTTTTTTTTGTTGGAGGGCAGGGGGAGCTGGTCAGAGATCTTTGGCTGTTGGAGAAGAGTAAGAGTACTAGTCACAAAATCATATCCTAGTTGTTTTAACTTTATCTTTGTTTCAAGAGCCCATAGACAATAATAGTACTTAAATATTGTGGGAGAAGAAGCATCCAACAATGACTTAAGCTTCTTTTCTGGGCTATGGAAATAATGACAGGATTGAAAGAAATGAGGGAAATCCAGAGAAAGGCACTGACTTTGAGAGAAAGAGGAATTAGTTTAGATATGTAAACTGTTTTCTATTTGTGAATGGTATTTTTGTTTTATTTATTCAAAACTCTTATTTGGATTTATAGAAAATGTTGTTCTTTATAGAATCTAGATATTTGTGCCTACATCATGCCTTTGTCTCCTCAACCCCCTAAAAGGCCCCTCAGCTTGGTTTATTTGTTGCCTGTTAAGAGCTTTAAAACTACCCACATCTTTATATCTGATAGACCTTTGAAGCAGGACACATGTACTTGTTTTCTAGCTTTTTCATTTAGCCAAGGATAGTCCTGCACAGGCTTGCTTATATACTTAAGTTAGAGGTAGGCTGCACTTTTGCGGCATATGTTGCTGCATTTCTCTGCAATACCAGGCATCCTAGACTTAGTAGTAACAAATTGTGTTGAGCCAGAGATAGTGGTAGTTGTTTTGAGATAGTCTGTTAGAACTAGTAGCATTTCTAACTTTTAGATATATTCCTTCCAAACAGCTTCCAAACCATTATCTTTGCTACTCTTGGTATTTGAAGCCTTAGCATCCACTGTCTTGAACAGGATTCAAGCTTACAAAATTATAAGGGAGAGAAGACTTTAGTCTGTTACCCATTATAACAAAGCAATGAGCAATGCTATGTCTACAATCCTTGTTAATACTCCAAAGAAAAACTTTCCCTTAATAACTAAAATTAAAGTAATTTTTAATTGGGTCTATGAGATCTTCCTAGCAAATGGAATGTCTTAATGTATATTGATACTGTTATAGGAGGGAGAAGAAGAAGCAAAAATTCATACCACTTATGTACATAAATACTGTTGATTTTAAAAAATGTACTGTGAAAGAGTAGTAAAGCGATCTACCTTAATATAGCTGCTTTCTAAATTGGGGTGAACAGAGGAACTATTATCTCCACTTTAAAAGTGAGTTTAAGGTATATGGTCCAGGTCGTACAAACATAGTATATGATGGATTGAACTGAGAACCCAGCCCAGTATTGTGATTCCCTGTCCGGTGTTCGTTTTGGCTACATATTTGGTGTTTACACCTTGTTCATTGAACTCAATCCCCTTTTTCTTTTAAAGTACACTTTCAAAATGATTGGAGGAAGGGAGTTTTGGTAAATGGAAACAGGCATCCAAGAAAGGTTTTGATAGGTCAAGGAGACAGAACCTGTGGACAAAGTAGGTGGAGCATTGAGCAAGTAAAAATCTCATTTTGCTTGTCCAGGGATCTGTTACTGTTGGTGGAGAAGCAGAAGGAATATTAACAGAATAGTTTTCCTGCTGTTGGGCATGCAGTTTTGTCAATCTAGAATAAATCTATTGTTGGCTGAGTAGAGTAAATTCATGTCTGAGAGTTGGGGAAGCATGGCTAGTGTTAAACAGGAAACTGTGCTTCAGTCTGACTTTGATATCTGCCTTCCTTATGCTGTGGGCTAATGTACATCGTACCCATTTTTCCCCTCATTTTCCTCCAATAAGAAATCTGTTTTGCCTTTTCTGATGGATATTACAAAGAAAGATTTTTGCTCAGTATTTGTCATTATAAATTCTCATTGCTGCTGCTGCCCTCAAAAGGATTGTGTAAATGAGGTAGGTAAGAATTTTTAGTATATGTAACAGTTTATATTGTAGCCTTTTTGGTGATATTCGTAGAAAGTTTCAGTTAAAGTATTGAAATTGTTAACTTGAGAATGCTTTTAAAAATATTTAGAGTTCTATAATTTAGTGAATTTATGCTGTATTCTCTGTGAGGAGGAGGTAGGCTTTTCTTAATTCTGAATGGTTAGGGAAAAGTTTACCTTTATTAAGAGTTAATGTTAATGTTACCCTACCACATTCAGAGCATAAGCATTTAAGAAGCAAGTGCTGCCAATTTTTAGGAGCTGAAAGATTGAATCACAGAATTCTGTATTATGACTCACTCTTATTTTTCTAGCAGATTAATTGACAAAACATAGTATGTAGAATTCAGATGAGAAGTCAGTCTATAAAATGTGCATATGGTTTTTGTGGGTTTTTTTTTTTTTTTAGTTCAAATAATGCAACATAAAATTTGATAAACATTTATCTTGTATCAGACTCTTAATGTGCTATTATAGAGTTACAGTTTTTTGTACCCCATTTAAAATTGTGCAGAAGTGTCCTTTGCATTTTGTAATGAGCATACAGTAGATATTCAAGGAATACATTTAGTGAAGAAAAATAAGCTACTGTCCCATCACAAAAAACATAATGACACTACTACCTAAAGATAACTCTTGTGAATTAGAAAAGTAAGAGAAAAATATCTGTAGAGCCAGTGAGTTGTTGGCTTTGGAGGAGTAGAATGAGAGGGTTGTATGTCCTTAACAAACTCTAGTTTTGTTCTGTGTAAGATATTAGCCCAATTTAGTACTTTTTTCTTCTTTTATCACGAAAACATCTTATTATTACTTTGTTCTATCTGGTACTTAAAATTGTGTTTTAGAGTAATTGAGTTCAACTTTAAAAAATTATTAGTTATAAAAATTACATTGAGTTATATCTTAAGAACAAGAAACCTATAAGTATAGCATATTTTTAAAACTGTAATTTTGTATTTATTTTAAACAGCTTTCTATTACATGTCCCAGATGACTTTTCTGTGGGTCACTTTTAGGATCAGTGAGGTTTCATAATCATCCCATGTACACTTTTACTTTTAATATACAATACCTGTGTATGCTTGCTTCTTAAATGATTCAGAATACCTCTGCTAGGTATTTTGATAATCCTGGCTTATTGATGGTTGCTCACTGGTGAAATTCCTTGTTATATTTTTCAGTATCTAAGTGGGTAGCAGTAAGCAGTCTTAATCTTTTAATACCAGCTACTGGACTGGCAAGTTGTGTTTCAGCTTTATTAGCTACCTTGGCACCTACAGTACATTTTTTAAGGAAGTAGTAGTATCTAAATATATGGTATAGCATTAATATGGAATTTTCTCTACAAAACTCTTGGCTGTAGGTTGAAGAAGCAGTATAACCTAGTAAATTTAAGGTTGTATTATGCATAGTTACTGGTTTTGCTATTATCTTAATGTCTGTTTTGCTCAGTAAGCATTCCTGTTTGTAAAGTCATAAATTCGTATATGTTTGCATGGATAGGTTTAACAAGAGGATTATTATTAAGGATAATCAAGGATGAAAGTAGGTTCAAGAGAAGATTTTCCTTGTTTTATTATCTTTGGTGATTGCCTTTAAATTCAAAGGTATCCTTGGGTCAGCAAACTTAATACTTCAAAGAGCTTTGAACCCAGGTACGACATTTGAATTCAGCTGTTGTAAATTTAGACAGGCAAGTTGGACAGGTATTATCATTATTGGCTAGACAGGAAATCTGAAGCTCAGAACTACTTCTGCTTGTCCAGTTCACACTGAATGGAAGTCTTTTATTGTTAAATGTTTTTGTCCTTTCAGTATTCCTATGCTAGAATAAAACAGAAGAATCAGTATATATTTGCTTGGTTAAATTAATATACAGTTTTATTGCCAGTAGGCCACGTACATTCCCTTGAAATGTATGTGCTTATGGAAGAAGGAACTATTTTTGTGTGACAAGTTCTTACTCTGTCACCCAGGCTAGAGTGTAGTGGCACGATCATGGCTCACTGCAGCCTTTACCTCTCCGGCTCAAATGATCCTTTGGCCCAGCCTCCTGAGTAGCTGGACTACAGGCGTGTGTGCCGCCATGCCCCACTAATTTTCTGTCTCTTTGGAGAGAGAGGGTCTTGCTTTGTGCCCATGCTGGGCTCAAACTGCTGGGCTCAAGTGATCCTTCTACCTTGGGCTCCCAAAGTGCTGGGACTATAGGTGTGAGCTACCACACCTGGCCCTGGACTTTTAAAATGCTATAAAAATAATCAGAAGAGCCAGTTGGGTTAGCTCATGCTAGTAATCCCAGCACTTTGGGAGCCCAAGGTAGGAGTATCGCTTGAGCCCAGAAGTTTGAGATCAGCCTGGGCAACATAGCCAGACTTCATTTCTCCGAAAAGATAAAAAATTAGCTGGCATAGTAGCACATGCCTGTAGTCCCAGCTACTTGGGAGGCTGAGGCTGGAGGAGTTTGAGGCGGTATTGAGCCACAGTCCCTCCACTGCACTCCAGCCTGGACAACAGAGCAAGAACTTGCCTTTAAAAAAAAACGTTTATGCAATTTTACATGTTTATTGTAGAAAACTAAAACCAAATATAAACCAAAATACAGTTGTTCCTCCCTGTCTGGGGAATTGGTTCCAGGACCCTATATCCCTGTGGACACCAAAATTTGAAGATGCTCATGTTCCAGAAATATAAAATGAGCCACAGTATTTGCATATAAAAATTATTTACAATATTTAATACACTGAGTGCTATGTAAGCAGTTGCTATACTGTATTGTTAGATAATAATGGCAAGGAAAAGCCTGTACATATATAGTATAGATGCAGTTTTCTCTTTTGAATTTTCAGTTTGCAGTTGGTTGAATCCACAGACATGGAAACCATGAGTAAGGAGGACCAACTGTACTCAGTTTTCCTACTACCAGAGAACTTTTAGTATGTGACATTCATTTTTTTTCTTGCATTACCTGTTTTCATAAGTATAAGACTGAAATACCAGCTTGCTCCATTAAAGTAGCCTTTTGCTTCAGCAGTATTATTTTGTTTTCATTAAAATTATGTGAAGATAAAAACAAGTTGGGGAAAACTTAGATGGATTTGGAAAAATAAGATTGAGGAAAATACAAGTAGTGATCTTTGTAGTCATTCTCATAAATGAGGCTTTTAAATACATGAATTTAACTTTAGCGTCAGCCCTACTCCCCAGTTCCTTGCTGTGAAAAGTTAGCCCTGGGAACAGAATTCTGCAGATTGATCTTTGGAATAATATAATGAGTAATTACTGAGAATTATCCAGCTTTTGGATATAACTCTTATACTTAAAGACTTTAAAGCTAATCATTTTATGTATTTCATTTAGATCTATGAGAGATTACATACATTTCTGTGATTTATTGGTCACTAATTTTGTTTTACTCTGTCACTTAGATTATAGATAATTAGAATTTATATATATTTAATAACTTTTCGGAATGCCCCACCCCAATTCCATTCCTTTTGTTTTATGTGTCTATTGACTTACAGTGCCACATGAGCAACATATCAGTGTTTCAACTCTTGATCCATGTGGTCACTTAGATGAGGTTGTAATAGATGAGATTTTTTTTATTTCCACCCCACCTCTTAGACAGTAGCATTTTATTGTTCTTTCTTTTATTTTTTCTTCATAACATTCTTGGAGTAGTTCTTATATCTTATATGTATATTTTCCACACATTACTGAAAAAAGATATTTTTTTCTTTTTAGATGGAGTCTTGCTCTGTTGCCAGACTGGAGTACAGTGGTGCAATCTCAGCTCATTGCAACCTCTGCCTCCCAGGTTCAAGCGATTCTCCTGCCTCAGCCTCCCAACTAGCTGGAACTACAGGCATGCGCCACCACACCCGGCTAATTTTTGTATTTTTAGTAGAGACAGGTTTCACCATGTTGGCCAGGATGGTCTTGATCTCTTGACCTCGTGATCTGCCCACCTCTGCTTCCCAGAGTGCTGGGATTACAGGCATGAGCCACCACACCCGGCCTGAAAATTTATTTTTAGAGAATTTATTGGCCAGGCATGGTGGATCACGCCTATAATTCCAGCTTTTTGGAAGGCCGAGACTGGTGGATCACCTGAGGTCAGGTGTTCAAGAACAGCCTGGCCCACATGGAGAACCCCCCACCCGTCTCTAATAAAAATACAGAAATTAGTCGGGCATGGTGGTGTGTACCTGTAATCCCAGCTACTCAGGAGGCTAAGGCAGGAGAATCGCTTCAACCCAGGAGGCGGAGATTGCACTGAGCCAAGATTATGCCACTGCACTCCAGCCTAGGCGACAGAGCAAGACTCCATCTCAGAAAAAAGAATCTATTTTTACTTTATAAAGATTCTAGAGCCGGGCGCGGTGGCTCAAGCCTGTAATCCCAGCACTTTGGGAGGCCGAGGCGGGTGGATCACGAGGTTAAGAGATCGAGACCGTCCTGGTCAACATGGTGAAACCCCGTCTCTACTAAAAATACAAAAAATCAGCTGGGCATGGCGGCGCATGCCTGGAATCCCAGCTACTCAGGAGGCTGAGGCAGGAGAATTTCCTGAACCCAGGAGGTGGAGGTTGCGGTGAGCCGAGATTGCGCCATTGCACTCCAGCCTGGGCAACAAGAGCGAAACTCTGTCTCAAAAAAAAAAAAAAAAAAAAAGATTCTAAACTATCACTGTGATGACTATTATGTAGTATCACATGTGATAGTAATGAGTTTTCTTCTGAGATTAATTGCAGAGCTTATCTTTCGTATGGGTCCAATATATTACTTTTAATTGTGTTTTATTTGTGCAAGACAATTTGCTCTTTAGTTATCATGCCAAAATAATATAAATCTTCAACTCCTTTGAGTTTGTTAAAGATTACTGTAATAATATTACGCCTGCCAAACTAAGCATGTGAATTCATGCCCACACATGGGTTCAGTGTTCAAAATAGTTAAATGCTGTATTGATTGATGTGTTTAGGGAATAAGGTTGAAGAAAACATCTTCTAACCAATTAGAACACTTAGCTTTCTTTTTAGCCAATAACTTCCTTTACTTGAAACACAGCAGAAGATATTAACATCTGCCTAAATTTTTTCATTGCCACACTTGGAAGTGACCCCACTGTCCTTGTTTTCTTGTGAAGAGCTAAATTGCCACTACCCAACTCTGACACTGCATGGACCAACTCCTGCAGGTGAATCAGAAAAAAAGCCAGGATAGTAAGAAAGCAACCTAGAAGAAACAATTGGAAATTTAAAAAACAAAGTTCTTCAAAGGCCCTGCTTTTATTAATGTATTTCTGTTTATGGTTTTCAGGGGGTGAAGCCAGCCAGTTTTGACAAAGTAGCAATTCCCGAAGTGAAGGAAATTATTGAAGGATGCATACGACAAAACAAAGATGAAAGGTAAGTTGCCTCTTTTGACCTGGGTAGTACTTGAACAAAACCTGCAAAGTAATGTGCTTTGAAGTGAGCCAAGATCATACCACTGCACTCGAGCCTGGGCGTCAGAGGGAGACTTAGGTCTCCAAAAAAAAAAAAAAAAGGTACAACACTCATTCTACGGTATATTTAACATTTGTGATTGGTTTCTCCATTTATGCCTGTAACAATTTTAAAAGTAGGGTTCTGTTCATTGTGGTTATTCAGATTTGATATACTGGAACGCTATAAAAATATGGTTTGGTAGAGTTTAAGTAAACAACAACCACCATAAACATAGGTACATTCCATGAGAACTACTTACAGCATCAGCATGATTTATAAAACTCAAGAGTTTAATATCTAACACAGGAAATCTTTCCTTAGTCCTTTACCATTGAATTCTAAATGGTAAATTAAAACCTTGGCTCTTTAAAGTTAACTCAGCTATACAGGTCTGATTTTCTATCCTTATGCCAGAATTAAAGGAGAACAAAACATCAAAATTCCTTGAGTAAAAGCAGAAGACTTCGCCTGGGGGTTAGAAAGAGATGTGATTTAGTCATTTGTACTAACAGAAGACTTTCTTAGAGGAGTGGCAAGTATCTGATCTTCCATATAGCTGATTCATCACCCGTTAGGCATGGCAAAGGTCCAGTATCTGTTTTTGGAAAACAGTCTGTCTTTGCCACCCCCATCCATCCTCTAAAAAAGAAAAAGGAGACCAACTAGTACAAATATACATTGCAAGTTGAGCATAATCTACCACCTGAAGAATGAGAGGAATCAGGTATATCAACTAAATTAAATAATTCCATCTTTTCACCTCTCCATCTCATTCTTTTTATAACATCATTATTTAGAAGAGCTTAACTTCATGGTTTTTAAGGTTTTATTAAGTAAAAGTTTAGTTGGAGTTTCCATTTTTATATATGTTGGGTCCTTAAATCTCTTTAAGAACTTTTTTTTACTATAAACAAAGGAATGTTTGTTTCTTTTTGTCCTCCCCTCCCCTCCCGTCCCCTCCTCTGCTCTCCACACTGTCATGCTCTGTCACCCAGGCTAGAGTACAGTGGCACAGTCTCGGCTCACTGCAACCTCTGCCTCCCGGGTTCAATCAATTCTCTATCTACAAGTGCACGCCACCATTCCCGGCTACTTTTTGTATTTTTAGTAGAGACACAGTTTCACCATGTTGGTCAGACAGGTTGCAAATTCCTGACCTCAGGTGAACCGCCCACCTCAGCCTCCCAAAGTAGTGGGATTACAGGTATGAGCCACTGTGCCCAGCCTGTTTCAATTCTTGATGGAGCAGTTTATTAGATTACTGGCATATTGAAACCATTTTATCTGAAGAAGATTATTTCACAATCAACCTTCTGCTTGCCCAGTACACAAGTTATTGAACAAGGAATTAAGAGAACTTATTGGTGTAAATAAAGGTTGCTGCAGTAGAAGGCACCAAACTAGAAACAAAAATATTTATTTTCTAGTTTTTATTTCACCATTTACAGCTTTTATAACTGTGAGCAAGATTCTCAACCTTTCTGAGCCTCCATTTCTTAATCAGGAGATGATACCAACTTGGGTGTTGGTCAGACAAGATCATAAATATGAAGATTTGTGTTGCTTATAAAATACTGTGTAAATGATCATGTGGTATTTTGAAGCTTTGTCTATGCATTACTTGTCATTACTAGTATATTATTACTAATGAGATCATTAGATTTAAAAATTATCAGTATCAGCTCTTACGAATGAGATTGTTATGATCTATAACTTGAGAGAAAACCTGTGTAATTACCATTCAAATGCAGCAATATAAAAATGAGTTATAAATGTTCCCAGGTATTTTTTTCAGTTTTTTTTCCCTGTTCTGTGAATAACAATAATTGGCCAAAAATAATTTGAAAATTATTTTTTCTAACTAATAGTATTGTATTTTTGTTCCTTTTCTTTTCCCTCTGTTTGGAAGATATTCCATCAAAGACCTTTTGAACCATGCCTTCTTCCAGGAGGAAACAGGAGTACGGGTAGAGTTAGCAGAAGAAGATGATGGAGAAAAAATAGCCATAAAATTATGGCTACGTATTGAAGATATTAAGAAATTAAAGGGAAAATACAAAGACAATGAAGCTATTGAGTTTTCTTTTGACTTAGAGAGAGATGTCCCAGAAGATGTTGCCCAAGAAATGGTAAATTGACATTAGCCATTTAAAAATTGATTTAGATTTCTTATATACATTGATACTATTATTAAGCAAAAAAGCAGTTTATGAAGTGGCGTGTGTGGCATATCCCATAGACATAAAATTGTGATGGCACTAAATGTTATCTTTGAGTCGTGGGACTTTCCAGTGTATGTTATTGTTGTTTTTCTTTTAAACTCCCTTCTTTGTATTGCTTTTATAATGGGTGTTAGATTTTATACTCCTTTTTAAAAGTAATTTTTTTTTTTTTTTTTTTTTTTTTTTTGAGAGAGAGAGAGAGGGAGATAGGATCTTGCTTTGTCACCAGGTTGAAGTGCAGTGGCCTGATAATCACAGCTCACTGCAGCCTCAAACTCCTGAACTGAAGCAGTCCTTCTGCCTCAGCCTCTCAGGAAGCTGGGACCATACGGATGTACCACCACGCCTAATTTTTGTATTTTTAATGTAGATGGGGTTTACCATGTTGGCCAGGCTTGTCTTGAACTCCTGATCTCAAGTGATCTTCCCGCCTCAGCCTCACAAAGTGCTGAGAGTATGTCATTTTGAAAAGTCCATAAGAGGCCGGGCGCGGTGGCTCAAGCCTGTAATCCCAGCACTTTGGGAGGCCAAGGCGGGTGGATCACGAGGTCAAGAGATCGAGACCATCCTGGTCAACATGGTGAAACCCCGTCTCTACCAAAAATACAAAAAATTAGCTGGGCATGGTGGCGCGTGCCTGTAATCCCAGCTACTCAGGAGGCTGAGGCAGGAGAATTGCCTGAACCCAGGAGGCGGAGGTTGCAGTGAGCCGAGATCGCGCCATTGCACTCCAGCCTGGGTAACATGAGTGAAACTCCGTCTCAAAAAAAAAAGAAAAGTCCATAAGATTGAGTGACTCCCAGTTTGTATAAGCATCATTTATTTAAAATGACAAGTTATGTTTCTACATACTGATACATTAGCCTTTGATCAGTTTTCTGGATCAACCCTGTAAACAGACATAGAACCATTAATTGTTTTTACTTTGAAGAGTTTTTCTGATCAAATATTAGTAGGAAGCCTTTGGTGTATTATTATTTGAAGTATATCTAAAAGATCACTCTTCCGTAAGGAAACCCTTCCCCAAATTTCTGCTTGCCATAGTGCCCAAAATAGCTAACTATTATGAAAAGATAACTCAGAATATCCGTACTCGGATTTATAAGAAGCATTCAAAAGTGGTAGTTGCCTCTGAGAAAGAGGTCAGGTATGAAAGAGTTACTTATGTTTAATTGTTTGTTGTTTGTATTGTCTGAGCTTTTTTGCTTTTTTGGAGGGGAGGAGCAGTGTTAAATCTTCATATTCGTACCACAGTTTTTATCAGTACAGATGGGGTTGCTTTGTAAATGAAAGTATAATCAACAGGTTAATATACAATGCCTTTTTTTTTTTTTTTTTTTTTGGTGTTGTTTTCTTTCAGTATACTACTGCTTAATATACCCTTTTATTTTGTAGGTAGAGTCTGGGTATGTCTGTGAAGGTGATCACAAGACCATGGCTAAAGCTATCAAAGACAGAGTATCATTAATTAAGAGAAAACGAGAACAGCGGCAGTTGGTACGGGAGGAGCAAGAAAAAAAGAAGCAGGAAGAGAGCAGTCTCAAACAACAGGTAGAACAATCAAATGCTTCCCAGACAGGAATCAAGCAGCTCCCTTCTGCTAGCACCGGCATACCTACTGCTTCTACCACTTCAGCTTCAGTTTCCACACAAGTAGAACCTGAAGAACCCGAGGCAGATCAACATCAACAACTACAGTACCAGCAACCCAGTATATCTGTGTTATGTACGTATCTTGGGAAGTGGACAGATATGCTAATGATTCTCTTAATTGATTTTTTTTTTTTTTAGCTTGTTATTTTGCACTGGCTTTTTGATTTTGAATTCCGAATCCTACTATTATACAGAATTTGGAATGGTTGTCACCTAGCCTCTTTTTATTCTTAATGTTCATGACTAGGAGAATAGAAGGATGGGGTAGTGAGGAAATGTGATTAGGATATAAAATACTTTTACAAGCTCCAACATTTTGGAGGTTTGAATTTGTAGATTTCTACTTTTCACAATTTATTTGACTAAAATAGAATTAATAATGAAGAACGAGCAAGCTTGGCTACTAAAATTGAACCCATCAGTCTGGTTGAGCTCTTTTAGCAAAACTGGATGGTGTATAGACTAAAAGGTAATAAGAACACTAGTTATTAATTTAATTACCTATTTAATACTGAGAACCTCTAGGCCTCCATAGTTAAGACTGTGAAAGCTGTGTCAAATTTAAGGCTTACAGTGTTCCATTTTGTTTCCCTTACTCTTCAAGCGATAAGATTCTGTGATAGCCAGAATTTTTTTGAAAGAAGACATTCAGACTTTTCCATATGGTTTCCTTATTTAAATACAGAAATTGACTTAATGTGGCTACAATTCATTTTTTATTTAGTTCAAATCTCTGCAAAGAATAACTAGTTACCCCTAATATAATAGGTCTAAAATATGATGAGAAAATGTGAACCTCTGTTTTGTGATTTGTCTTTTCTCTCTGTTCTTTTTTTTTTTGTTGTTTTTTTGTTTTGTTTTGTTTTTTGGGGTGATTCATTTCTCCTTTAGCTGATGGGACGGTTGACAGTGGTCAAGGATCCTCTGTCTTCACAGAATCTCGAGTGAGCAGCCAACAGACAGTTTCATATGGTTCCCAACATGAACAGGCACATTCTACAGGCACAGTCCCAGGGCATATACCTTCTACTGTCCAAGCACAATCTCAGCCCCATGGGGTTTATCCACCCTCAAGTGTGGTAAGTAAATGCTTAAGAGAATGTAATACTACAGTAAGAGCCAATGGATAGTCTGCTAAATTAAAATTATTTGTACACACCAAGTAGCAGTATAAGTCTGAAGTAGGAAATATAAAATGCTATATCTCTAAAAAAAAATTGGGCTTTTATAGAGTACAATTAGAGTAGTGCTGGTAGAGAGTAGGATATACACAATGTGTGGGCATTAGCTAAACTGCCTGCATGAAGCAACTATGTACAAGATTTAGACTAGACTGCATTTTTACTAAAGGTAATGCTCTCTTTAGCACTTAGGAGTTGAAACCATTCACAGCAACATAAGCTGGATATACAAATAAATGTTTTGTGGGTGGGGCAAGGAGAGTTTTTCAAAAGCTTGTTAAAATAATTACTAAGTATTTTCTGTAAGATTCCCTATTGTACAAAACACAGGTAAGACCTTCAAACCATTATAGAATGCTGCATGTGAGTACCCCAGATAGAGGGAATCCTTTATTTGAATGACTGTTTAATTTAGCGCTTCTGTTTAATCATCAGTTGCTGTGTGTGTTCCTGCCTTTAAAGTCTATGTTGGACACAAGTTCCTTCCCCAGTATATGTTCTTTTGCTTTTTCCCTTTAGTTGGTATCTGTTTTATTACTGATTTATTTTCAGAATCAACTTATGGAAATGATTTCCTGAAATATTTTATGCTTGTACACACACACACACACGCACACACACATACACACACACACACAAATTATCCTATGTTTTACATTAGCCACTCTTGCTTCTCATACAGAGAATGTTAAAGTGGATCATCAGATTATACCCCATTTCTTTTGTTGACTTCAGAGGAAAATAAAATACATCATCTGCCTCTGAAAGGTGTTAGAAAATAAGTAACTTGTCACTGTATAGCACTTGTTTAGTGAAATATTTAAGCAGACAATTTTCCCCTCCTTCTCAGAAAGCTTTTAATTTAAACTTTGTGGAAATCTTGCTCTTCTTTAAATGAAAATCTTTCTCTGTTAAGAAAATACTTCTGCTTGTTCTGATTTTTTTATCCTACAGCTTGGAATAAAACATGTTCATTTGTTTCAGAGTCTGCTTAATCCTGCTTTGGCTAGGTCTGAAGATGAATGGCCACAGTAACACAAATAAAAAACAACTAATGTACTAATTTTTTTTTTTTTTTTAGCAATCTAGTTTCTTTAAAATAATTAAATGAGGGGTAGGGTAGAAGAACTTTATAAAGACTGCACAGAAAATATATTTCTGTGTTCTGATGAGTATTACTTGTCAGCACTTCTTGTCAGTTTCTACCTTTGATTTTTTTAAATTATCATAACTAGATTTTGCTAAAACTCTTTTTATTTTCTCTTGAATATACTCGTCATGGGGGAACATTAGGTCTCTATTTTAGAAGAGCAAGTAGAATGACATGAAGTTATTAAGTATTTGAACCACTTATATAGCTATATTTATTGATGCTCTAGAAGCAGACTTTCTTGCTTTATAATGACAATATTATATGGAGGTATTATGAGGAATTATTAAAGAATTATTGAGAATTAAAAAATTTTTATAATCCTATCCTGTCTCATTTTAAGAGGAACTTATTGTGGCTTACAAGAATATAAACACATTATAAGTGAAAATTTAGAAATTAGAATAAAAGAAATAAGGCTGAAGAAAAATAAAAACAGGAATGAAACTAAATAATCATATGATGATATTTAAATACTTCCTCCTGGTGGGCCACAGATTTGGCCCAAAGCATTCTAGGAAGCCAAGTTTTAGAAAAGAAAACATAGTTTCATAGTTCACAACATCTAAAAGAAAAATAACAATAACATTCTTACTCAAGACATCCTTTATAGTGTTGGTCATACTGCTTTGCAGCTATATTAAACCCTGTGCCTGAATTTTTTTCTAAGTTATTCTTTTTTTTTTCCTTTTTTGACAGCATCTCACTCTGTTTCCCCAGTGGGAGTACAGTGGCATGATCTTGGCTCATTGCAACTTCCATCTCCTGGGTTCAAGTGATTCTCCTGCCTCAGCCTCCCCAATAGCTGGGATTATAGGTACCTGCCACTACTCCTGGCTAATTTTTGTATTTTTTTTTAGTAGAGCTACGGTTTCACTGTGTTGGCCAGGCTGGTCTTGAACTCCTGAGCTCAAGTGATCCTCCCGCCTCAGCTTCCCAAAGTGCTGGGATTACAGGTGTGAACCACCACACTCTGCCTAAATTATTCTTTAGAGATTCAGATTGAAGATATTCTCCCATTGACTACTTTGTAAAAATACAAACTATTTTCTATATCCAGTTGTGAATGTCTTCTAGAAAGCTAAACTTTTTCCTAGTAGGTGATGACTTTTTAACTTTACAAATAACGAGTGGCAAGTATAAGAAATACTGTGAGCCAACAACTTTCCATCTCATGTCTTCTAAAATAGAAATGAGAATCTTTTTCTGAGGTTTCCAGAGCTCTTGCAAAATAATCCAATCTTAAAATTCTCTGTATCTTTTAATGTACTTTAAACTAATAGAATTCATTCTTGTTGAATCTTCAGTTTGCCAAACTTGCAAGCTAATATTCCTCATTTTCCCTGTCTGCACCCTGCAGTCAGTTGGTCATTCTTAAATTCATACACTCATAACACTTGGTGTTATTTTAGATAGTTAGCATGATAATTGATTGTTATCATGATCATTCATTAAAAAAAAAACCTGTGCTTGACTGACAACGTAGAAAGAATAGTTGTGAATAGTTGTGATCTGTCAGATGTACTATGTTGAGTTATAGCTCTCCTCAAAAAAAAAGTTGACTCTGTGGAATTGGGAGATGATGGAACATTTCTTTATGCAACTATGCCCTATTATCATTGTACTTTTGGTTATTTTGTTTTCAAAGTACTGTGTTTTTCATGTGTGTGTTTATTTTCTGTTTAGCCTCGTCGTGGCCGTAGCATGTCGGTTTGTGTTCCCCATCTTTCTGCTGTTCCCTCCCTGTCCCGCATCTCTCCCAGTGCTCCTTCCACCCCACCACCAGTGCTGTCTGCACCTCTTTCTCCTTCCCTCCTTCGGACTGCCCCTGAGGAAACTTTTGCCGAAAAGCTTTCTAAAGCATTGGAGAGTGTCCTGCCTATGCACTCTGCCTCCCAGCGCAAGCACCGACGCTCCAGCCTGCCTTCCCTCTTTATCAGTACTGTATGTAACTGTAAACTTCTGACAAATGAACAATTATTACCAATGAATACATCCAGGCATCAAGAATTTTAATTAAAATTGAATAAAGAACAGGACTAAAGTTGGTTATATTATGCTTCTAGGATACCAGTTATTCCTATAGGAAACATTTTTGTAATAAGCTTTAAGGGGGGATAAAAAGCAAGGGGATAATGAGAGAGAATACTTAACAATGTCCTTGGCACTTACCAGCATGTGTTCAATAAACTTTACCTTTTATTATATCTTCGTATCTGCTACTGACATAAAATTCTTTTATTTTCATATTCTAGCTTTAAAAATATTACTTAATTTTAAAGTTATCATTGCCTTAATCAAAAGCAAATTTTATTAAACATTACCCAAGCATTTTTTCTCCTCACTTTATTCTGAGGAGACACTACTGAAACTGGTTGAGTTCTTTTTTTTTTTTTTTTTTTTTTTTTTTAAATAACTCAGTCAGCAAAGAATAACCTCGGAGAGGATGTTTATTTTAATTTAATCATTTATGTGAGGTGATGTGTCAGCAAACCAAAGGGTATATAATGTTCCCCCATGGAAGTATTTTTTCCTTAGGTTGACTAGGGTGGGACTGTAGCTCTAATGAATACATTAGATACATATATAGTATGTATGACTTTCTTAAGATCTATCTTTTAAAATTATTTTAAGCATGTGGGTCCTTGCTGCTGCTTTTCCAAATAAAGAGTATAGTTTAACTTTCTGAACTAGCAACCCTAGACTTCTCAGAATTTTACTTAGGAGAATGAAGTGTACAGTGTTATGGCTTTGAGACATACCATGAGTAAATAACAATAAAATGAGCATTCTGATTGAAAATAGAAATCCTCTTTTAGCTATTGTGAACAGTTGATCTACTTTGTCAACTTGATAAGGATCTTCTCTATGGAAGGATGAAACTGAATTCTTTTAAAAGGGAGAGTCCATGATAGTGAATTATTACAGTGTATGTTGTTTGCATTTGGCAAGCTGTGTTTCTAAATTTAGAGTCTTACATCTACAGCTGCTTCTTGAATAAAAAGTTCTATCAAATAAAGTTGGCTGCCATTTATATTATGCTTTTCAGCTGATTTGAACACCAGGATGTCAGAATCAGAAAATTCATGGTTATGGTGGGACTTGTTGGCTCACGCCTGTAATCCTAGCACTTTCGGAGGCAAAGGCGAGCAGGTCACCTGAGGTCAGGAATTCAAGACCAGCTTGGCCAAAATGGCAAAACCCGTCTCTACTAAAAATACAAAAATTAGCTGGGCGTGGTGGCATGCACCTGTAGTCCCAGCTACTCTAGAGGCTAAGGCAGGAGAATCACTTGAACCCCAGGAGGCAGAGGTTGCAGTGAGCTGAGATCGTTACTGAACTCCAGCCTGGGTGACAATGTGAGACTCCATCTCAGAAAAAGAAAAATGAAAATTCATGGTTACGCAACTCTTATTTTGGATCAGAAAAGTGGACATTTTTGATTTAACTCTGGAACATGTTTCACGTAGTTAAAAAAATTATATATATATATACACACACACATATACATATATATATATATTTAAAAACCTATTAACCATATCTAGTTTGGGATAGACAGGAGAAAGACATTAGTCAAATTGTATATCTTTTACTATCCACCAAAAATCTCTTCTGATTTCTGCTTAGAAGGCATACTATTAATTGATAAGAAAATAACACTGAAGGCCTCTAACATATCACAGGGTAATAAGAATATAGGAAACGTTAATTCAATAGCTTAAAGCATACTTTTTACAATATGGAACTAGTCAGGTTTTTATGCCTTCTTTTAATTCTTATTCTTCCTTTAACTCTTTTTCTGTTGGTATAATTTACGTTAATGCTTAAGAGTGAACCTTTAAATGTAGGTTAAAACAAAATACTTACAAAGTTTAATTCTTCCATTTCCTTTGAGAGAGGAGAGTTATGGAAAAGCAGCTCTTATCTAAAGCAAAGAGCCCACAGATTGATTTCATTGGCCCTGGATGTATTTAATGGGTTTTTACTATGCACATAATTTCCAGAAGCATTGTTATTTATTTATTAACTATAAATTTGGTGTAACCATTTCATAGGGTTACACAAAACTACCCAGTTGTGCATGTCTGTTGTAATTTCACATATGAATGTATGAATTACTTGTCTTATTCATGTTGATACAGCCTCAGTCCATGGCGCATCCGTATGGGGGGACCCCAACATACCCAGAATCACAGATATTTTTCCCAACTATTCATGAACGTCCAGTTTCTTTTTCACCACCTCCCACCTGCCCACCGAAAGTAGCCATTTCCCAGCGGCGTAAGAGCACCTCCTTCCTGGAAGCCCAAACTCACCACTTCCAACCCCTGCTGAGGACTGTTGGTCAAAGTCTTCTTCCACCTGGTGGCAGCCCAACTAACTGGACACCAGAGGCCGTAGTTATGATGGGTACTACAGCTGGTAGAGTAACTGGAGAGTCATGTGAGATACAGGTCCAGCCTATGTTTGAACCATCTCAAGTTTACGGTGACTATAGACCTGGACTAGTACTTCCAGAAGAAGCTCACTATTTTATTCCTCAGGAAGCAGTGTATCTAGCTGGGGTACATTACCAGGCCCGGGTGGCAGAACAGTATGAGGGCATTCCATACAACTCACCAGTACTGTCAAGTCCTATGAAACAGATACCTGAACAGAAGCCAGTACAAGGGGGCCCTACTTCAAGTTCTGTCTTTGAATTTCCATCTGGACAGGCTTTCCTGGTAGGACACCTTCAGAATCTAAGATTAGATTCTGGATTGAGTCCAGGATCTCCCCTCTCTAGTATTTCTGCACCTATCAGTACAGATGCTACACGTTTGAAATTTCACCCTGTCTTTGTTCCTCATTCTGCACCCGCTGTGTTAACTCATAACAATGAGAGCAGAAGCAACTGTGTATTTGAATTTCATGTTCACACACCAAGCTCCTCTTCAGGAGAAGGAGGTGGAATTTTACCTCAGCGTGTTTACCGAAATCGACAGGTTGCAGTGGACTTGAATCAAGAAGAACTGCCTCCTCAATCAGTTGGATTACATGGCTACCTGCAGCCTGTGTCTGAAGAAAAGCATAATTACCATGCCCCAGAATTGACCGTTTCTGTGGTAGAGCCTATCGGACAGAACTGGCCAATAGGAAGCCCAGAATATTCCAGTGATTCCTCACAAATCACTTCTTCAGACCCCAGTGATTTTCAGTCACCTCCCCCTACAGGGGGAGCAGCTGCATCTTTTGGCTCTGACGTCTCATTACCCTTTATCCGTCTGCCTCAGACAGTGTTACAGGAATCCCCACTTTTCTTCTGTTTCCCCCAAGGAACTACATCTCAGCAGGTCTTAACTGCCTCATTTTCTTCAGGAGGATCTGCACTTCATCCACAGGTTATAGGAAAACTTGCACAATTATTTTAAACCACCCTACTATGCACCATAACATTTAAATTTTTTTGTCCTTCATTCCCTGAATCATGAATTTATGAGAAATATTGTTTAATTTTATCAGTAGAGTTTCCCCATCTTTGTGGGGTTGTGACTACATATATGTATTAAAAAACAAAATACGAGAGAAGCTCCCTGATCTACCTATCTATGAAAACTGGTGGAAAAACACAAAAACCAGAAATTTATTCATTCATCAAAATCAACGACTTTTATCCCTATGCATGTTATTTTAAACCAGTAGTGAAAATGCAAGTGTATGTAATGTATGGTTGACCCAGCATTATTTAGGAATACAAATCTTAAGTAGTATTTTCTTTCTCTAAACAAGTTTTTTTAAAAAAAGGAATAATTGTTTTTTCTGTAAAATATAAAGCATAGAAAATAGGGAATGCTTTTTTGGAGTAGTATTAATACACAGAATTTTCATTAGTGTAGAAGGATATAAAAACAAAATATATCTTATGGGAAGAAAAAAAAGATAGAAAAGGAAACAGTTTAGAAATTTGCCTTAATAAATGAAAATATCTTTTTAAATTGGTATCAGTCAAGCAAGTTGCTATGTATTATTATATGTCCAAATAAAATGCTAATTCATAAAATTAAGGACTGATTCTAATTTCTAGCAACTAATAGTCTAGTGGGTTGTGGGCTTATTTTTTTGTTACAAGAATTTGTGATATGTTACAAGCTAAGGAACACTAGACATCTCAGGCCTTGTATTTTTCTCAACAAATTTAATTTATGTATGTGTATGAGCATATACACACTTAGCAAGTAAAGACAATATAATGAATGTAATAGAATTCAAAAGTACAGTCAGTGTTTACTGTTTTATATATTCATTTGGTGTATTTTATCAAACGTGTATATCTTGTAAAATCTACATGGAAGACTATGCAGTCATATAGTGAAAATGTTTGAATATCCCACATATTCTACTCCTTTAAAAAGTACTATGTGTTGTTCTTCCTACTTTCTTGCTATGTTCTCCTGTTCAGGGGCATAAACGAATCCCAAAATGTGCACAAAATATCAATTACTTAGAGTTGTACTAAGACACAAAAAGATCCAGAAGCTTGAAAACTATACATGGGCACGCAGTATATTCATATCAGTATTCAAGTTGCAGCCCTATTATGAATATTGATGGATCACCAGTAACTATCCTTTAGACTTTCCAAAGTAAAATTTCGGATACCAGGTAGTTAATTTATAGACATGCTACAGAGGAATCAATCTCAAACTCAACACTTAAAATAGTTAAGCTGCAGTTAACTATTTTAATAGTGGAATGTGATATATCTATGTAAGCTTTAAGGAACCCCTTCTAAACTGAAATGGAATGACAAAAGTGGAAGCCTTTTTGTTTCTTTAACGTATCTATATATAGTCCTGCATTTATTTCTCAGTTTCTCATTTATTTTAATTTGGACTTCTCAATAATCAGAACACTCTAGTTGGGGTTTCTCAAACTAAACACTGTTGACATTTGAGGTTGGATAATTCTTTGTTGTGGAGGGCTGTTCTATGTATTGTAGGATATTTAGCAATATCCTTGGTCTGTACCTCCTAAATACTAGGTAGCAGCCATCTCCCTCAGTTTTGACAACCAGAAATGTCTCCACATATTGCCAAGTGCCCCCCTGAGGGTGGCAGAATTGCCCCTGGTTGGCAGCGATTGCCCTAGGTTCTTAGCAGTTGATGATAACAGATTTTTTGACACTTTTGAAAAAAGTCATCGTGGCACTACAAGAAACATTACCAAATTAGCATTACTAAATACCTTTTTTCATTAATTTTTCAGACAAATTTCAGATTGATAGCATTTCTACTTTGTTCCTATGTTACATACATATTAAATATATATTTCTAATAACAAATTTTTTTCACTATCAGTGGGTTTTGCATGGGTTGGGATCAGAATATGTTGTGTGGAATGATCCTTCTCTAAATTTTTCTTACAAAAGATAACCTAGCGGCCTCTCCCCTACATAATCAGGTTAATGTTTCATTTTGATCAGGCAAACTCTGAGGAGCTTAAATATTCATTGCAAAAGCCTGACTTCTGTACACTTAATTTAGGACTTCTCTAATTTGTTGTGTTCACTTCTTTCCTTCAGGCACAGGGGCAGAGCCAGGGTCAGCCATCCTCAAGTAGCTTAACAGGGGTTTCATCTTCCCAACCCATACAACATCCTCAGCAGGTGAGAACAATGCATTGCAACATTTTATGAATTAGCAGTGGCCAGAACACTATTTGAACTTTTGTGATTTGTGATGCAAATTGCCTGCTAAGTTTTTGAAAGGAAAATTAAGAGGTGTTACATGTCTTGTGTTGAGTAACATTTTAGAAAACTCTCTTTTGGTTCATGTACTTTTGAACAATTTAGTAGACATACATTATTACTGATGTAATTATCTTTTTAAAAGAAGATTCTACAGTGTGTTTTGTTTTGTTTGGTTTTTTTGGTTTTTTTTGTTTGTTTGGTTGGTTGGTTTTTTTGGAGACAGTCTTACTTTGTCACCCAGACTGGAGTGCAGTAGTGTGATCTTGGCTCACTGCAATCACCACCTCCCAGGTTTAAGCAATCCTCCTGCCTCAGCTTTCCACGTAGCTGTGACTACAGGTGCCTACCACTACACTCAGCTAATTTTTGTATTTTTAGTAGAGATGAGGTTTCACCATGCTGGCCAGGCTGGTCTCAAACTGCTGACCACAGGTGATCCACCCACCTAGACCTCCCAAAGTGCTGAGATTACAGGCATGAGCCACCTCACCTGGCCTGCATTCTACATATAATTTACAGTACAAAGAATATCAGTCTGTTTCTACTTATGACTTGTCTATGTATGATCATTTTGTCATTTTTTTCCCACTGCTTGCAGCAGTGATTTGTCATGACCTTCATTGTGCGTGCCTTTACTAATCCTGCACTTCTTTTTAATTATTTCTAATCTGTAGAATGATATGTCAGATTTTATGCTAAGAAGGATTGAATGAAAACCTAAGAACAATTACTTCAGGAACATTTATTTTTTTAATATTATTTTTTGAGACACTTGCTCTGTCACCCAGGCTGGAGTGCAGTGGTGTAAATTTCAGCTCACTGTAACTTCCACTTCCCAGATTCAAGCAGTTCTTGAACCAGCTAATTTTTGTATTGTGTTCTACTTACGCCTGGCTAATTTAGTAGACATGTGGTTTCACCATGTTGGCCAGGCTGGTCTTGAACTCTTGACCTCAAGTGATCTGCCTGCCTAAGCCTCCCAAAGTGCTGGTATCCACCTTGCCCAGCCAAAATATATTTTTTTAAATATTTAAATATTTTTAACCTCTGTTTTGGGGGGATTGTTTCAGAAAGTTAAGGAATTCAAGAGATTAGTGTAATCCTGATACATCCAACAGTAAAACTGGTAATTCTAAAATTAAATATTTATAGCTCATCACTAATGTTAATAGCAATTATTTGCAAGGGAATAATGCATTTTTGTCTTAATTGAATACTTATTAGCTGTTCTACATTAAATTTGTAGCCACTATGTATATAATACAAACTTCCTAAAGAAAGTTCCCCTTGTGTGTTTTTTAGTCACCAAACTGTAAGGCTTCCGTTTCTGTTAGTTTTTAGTTTTGAAACAAAGTTTTCAGTTCTTAATTACAAATGGCCCTCTTTCAGTTTAACATATGGTCAAGTAGCCATTCAATACTGGTTTAAGATCAGGTGTTGCTTGTACAAGATAAAAATCACTTAAAGGCACTTTCTACAGAAAGAATTGATTAGTTTGGTTATACATGCATTGCTCGGTGATCAGTACCTCTGTAGAACTGAAGGACTGGGACTTACATGCTTTGTTTTGCACCTGTCCCTTCTTCCAAACAAGACTGGTTAAATTAAAGTAGTTGTATTTTTACCAACCTTAACAAAATCTGTTTTCTTCTATTAATAGTTTCTAATTAGAATGCAAATTACAAGTCACATAAAGTTAGTTGAGAATGGAAGTACTGAGTACTAACCTCCTAACTGCTTATCTTTGGATGTAGACCAACACCAGTAAACTGAGCTAATTGTATGTGCTCTGTTTTTCCTTTTCCAAAGGAATTTGTTATATAGCTTGTATTTGAGGATATATATATGTATACTTACTACCAAATGAAGATAATAAAATAATTCATTGAGTTTTATGGTGTGAAACAGTATGAGAAGAGAAGAGATCAGTACCATAAATGTCAGGTTAAAAGAATTAGGTAGCTCCCCCTCCTGGGGAAAAAAATATGGCTAAATGCTATCCCTGCAGAAGAAACAAAAATTAATTTTTGTTTCATTGATGTTTTTGTTTTAGATACTTTTATAGCATATGTTCTAGAATCATAAAATTGAGTCCTCAGTATATATAGGAAGTGTATTTGTGTAGAATAATTAACTTCTCCAAGGTCAACTAGATAATAAGGGAGCTGCAAATTACAACCCAGAATTCAAGACTTCTAGAATAGTATTCTTTTGTCCATTTTAAATAAAGTTCTACAGGGACTTAAAAATTCTGCAAAAGTACCCCAGAATCTGTCTTTTTTTTTTTTTTAAATTGCTGGAGTTCCACATTTTAAAAAAGAAAGGTTGAAAACTTTTTGTACTGTATGTATAGTATATTTTTAGGCAGGATTTTTGTTTTACGTACTTTAAGGTCCCCTCCCCACCTTAGGGAACCATATCTCTTATTATAGTGATGAAAGAAATGTACTTTTGATAAAACTTACTTTATTTCTTGGGTGTCTTGAACATAGTAAACAAGGAATTGCTTTTTTGTGTGTTTTTATAAAGAATCTGTTATAGTGATATGCCAGATCTTAATGAGGTACCAAAAATAGCTGCCTCTGCTGAAAAACTTTCTGACTGCAAACAGAGTTGTGAACTTTGTCAGACACAGTGCCAGCTACTTGGAAGGCTGAGGCAGGAGGATCACTTGAGCCCAGGAGTTCAAGGCTGCAGTAAACATGATAGTGCCACTGCATTCCAGCCTGGGCAAGAGAGCATGACCCATCTTTAGAAAAAAAAGAGCAGAGGGGGAACCAAAGTTGTGAAATACCTACCCTCCTAAAGGCTGTTTGAACTGGTTTCATGGGGCAAGCTTAGGCAAAGCATGATGCTAAACTGTTAAGCTAGATCATACCTGCTTGGCTGAAGTGCTGATTATTAGTCAGTGGGGTTGTGCACAGCAGATTACCATGTACTTCTGGCATACCCAGACGTGCCACTTCTCCCCAAGTGCTGTAAGATATAACATTAACCATTAGTCATTGTAAACAACTGGTTTAAAATATATCTTTAAGATGTTAATACAAGGGTTACTGGCATAGATGCTTCTCAGTTATCTTAAGCAAAGAATGAAATAATTTGTCCATAAAACTGCTCATTTTTGACAGTCCTTTCAGCTTTCTTTCCTAATTGAGTTCAGATACTGAAGGTCTACCAAGATGGACCAGATATGACTAATTGGAAAGAGTTTAAATAATATAGTAAATATATATGTAAATTTCTACAAAACAAATAAGGATAATAGCTAATATTAAACTTTGCACATTGTACCTACATTCTCATTTAATCTTTAAGAACCCTGTAAGTGTAGATGCCATAATTATTTCCATTTTACTGGTGGGAAAGCTGAGATCTGGAGAAGGTGAGTAGTTTACCCAAACTTACAGCTTTTATAAGAGGTGAAAACAGAATTTAAATGCAAATAGTCTAATTCCACAGTGGCTTACCATTTGACTACTACCTGATTATGTCCCAAAAAGGGAAGAAATTAACATCTCTCCCAAGCAGGAAAGGGGATATCAGGAAGACTTTAGGAAAAAGGAGGTGTTCGAAATGGACTTTGAGTATAAGTAAGACTCAGATGTAGAAATAAAGAATATTCTAGGCCAGACGAGAAAAAAATTATACTGTGAGCAAGGTAAAAGGCCCAAAGATAGAAAAATATGGGACAGAAGCAAATGTGCCTTTAGTTTGGTTTAACTGGAACATTGATATGTGAAGGTATAAGTTCAGGAAAGAGTTGATAAGAGTCTAAATTTTGATATGAGCATAGTTTTGAATTAAGAAGGATGTATTGGGAGTCGGGAGCATATGATTACCATATTCCCAAAGATAACATGGGGATTCTTCCTCTGTCCTTTAGAAAAGAGGAGAATCACCATGTATTCAAACCTTTATCGTACTCTCATATTACAGGGCTTTCACTGTCCTTTGAACAACAACAAACCAAAAAAGGTTAATGAAATCAATCAAAACAGGTGAGAACAAATGTGCCTGCAAGGACTTTAGACCATGTAGTTGGAAATGTTTATTGAGAACATCAGACAGAATTGTTGTTGTTGTTGTTGTTGTTTTTTAAAGCAATAGATTAAACATGGATTTAGTCCTTATTCTCAGCAATGTGACTTTACTATTCTGAGGACTGTATGTGATTTTAAACAACTGGTTTAAAGATCTCTTTAAGATGTTAATACAAGAGATACATTAATAACCTATAAGAGAAATGCAAAAAAAAAATTATTGCTATTTTAATGTTATATAAATAGGTGCTTTTTGCTGTACATTTTGCCTGAAGACGCAACTCAGAGGGAACATGTTATGTTATGCCAAAAAACTTCAGGAAAGTTTATTATTTAGCTTCAATGAAGGTAAAGATGCTAGTGTCTTTACCTGTGAAGAGTTTGAGGGAGAGGCAGCAAAGTTTCTGGATTAATATATTTAATATGCAATCTTATTTAGGCATATAAATTAATGAGTTAGATAATTAGAGATATCTCATTCACCTTCCTTAAAGTTTAAATATATTCAAGTTGGCAAAAAAAAGTTTTCTGGTTTTTTAGTTCCTTTTTCTCAGGTGAGAAATTAATTGGCTTATATTCAGAGTGGCTTTAGAGTTGGCTACATGTGATATATCTTAGTTTGCAGAAAATAATGTTTTCTTAAAAGTTAAAATAATTATACATTATCAGAAATAATTAAATAGGAATAGACCAAACATGACTGCTGTTGCCATGATATTTTAGCATTCTTTTGGTGATTTTAATTGATAGAAGAAGAGCAAAAATATTACTTGTAGATTATCATCTAACAAAATCTAAGACACTTATCAAGGTGGCAAGATACATAATAAATGTACAAATAAATAGCTTATCTTTATACCAGCAGTAACCAGTTAGTTGTATGGATATACCAGCACATATATAGAAGGCTATTGGTTGCAGCTTTAAGTAGCAAATGAAACAACCAAAGTGTTTATCATTATGAGATTGATGCCATTGAGAAATGAAATGAAAGTAGTATACTATAGAACACTATGTATAGGAAAGGCATGTTTTTGTTTATTTTAACAAAAAAAAAAAAAGAAAACTATGTGAAAATGGCCACTTAACGCATGGAAAAAAATCCATGAAGGTTATATACCAAACCACTAATAGTGATTTCCTCTGGAGAACAGGATTAGGAATATTTTCATTAACTTTATAATCTGATATGCTAGGTAAAATTTTTATTACAAGCAGATGTTGTATTAAAGAAAAATTTAAATTAGGTATTAGATGAACTTGAGAATCAGCAGTAAAGTTCAGTTTTTTTTTTTTCTTTTTCTTTTTTTTTGAGGCAGAGTTTCACTCTTCTTGTCCAGACTGGAGTACAGTGGTGCCAACTTGGCTTACCACAACCGCCGTCTTCTGGGTTCAGGTGATTCTCCTGCCTCAGCCTCCCGAGTAGCTGGGATTACAGGCATGTGCCACCACACCCGGCTAAGTTTTTGTATTTTTAGTAGAGATGGGGTTTCTCCATGTTGGTCAGGCTGTCTCAAACTGCCAGCCTCAGGTGATCCATCCGCCTCCATCTCCCAAAGTGTTGGGATTACAGGTGTGAGCCACTGCTCCCAGCCTCAAATTTTTGTTAGCCAGAAGGGGCAGGACTCTAGGGGTCATAGTCCTGTTTTGTTTGCTTTTTATAAAATTTAGTATTCGGGTACAATTACATGCCATGCATTAAATTAGGTGTATAATTATGTTCCATGCCTAGTACATAGTAGATTCCTAGGTGTCATTCCCTTTGCCTCACTTTGAGTTAAATAATAATATCCTTGTTTCAAAAAGAGAAACTTCATTTTTGTAATAAAATAAGCAGTCTAAGTTATTAACAGCTCATAAATGTTAAAGCTAACATTTGAAAATGTCTCTTGATTCTAAGTCCAGTGCTTTCCTCACTACTTTGTAGCTATAATCAAAGCTGTTGTTCAAGCATATTAATTATACAGTTGATAAAATAGGGTAGGGAAAAAAGATTAAAGGAAGCAACTGAATCTATCTAATATAGGTGCCAAAGTGAAAGCTGATGTCAAGAGATAGGGAAAAGGGAATGGCAGGGATGGGATGGGGAAAGGAACTATCTGGATATGGTATCTGTTGGGGTGAGGGAGATACTGGGGTGAAGAGCCAATGGTAACTCGAGTTTTAAAACATTGGTTAATTGTTCCTGGTGGCACCATCACAAAGAACATCAGAGGGAAAACAAATATATAATGGAAATTGATGAATTTGGGTTTGTGCAGGTCTTGATTACTAAAATCATCATTATTTACAGGCACTGAAGGCTTTTAGGTAAACATGCTTCCTTAGAAACAGCACTGATTTGAAATAAAACTGAATCATTGTATTTTATTCTTAGCAGCAGGGAATACAGCAGACAGCCGCTCCTCAACAGACAGTGCAGTATTCACTTTCACAGACATCAACCTCCAGTGAGGCCACGACTGCACAGCCAGTGAGTCAGCCTCAAGCTCCACAAGTCTTGCCTCAAGTATCAGCTGGAAAACAGGTAAACTTAAAAAAAAAAAAAAAAAAAAATACAGGTACTCTTAATTTCTGAAAGGGATCTCCATGTAACTTGTCCTTTCTTCTAATGGTAGCCAACCCTTGAAGTAGATTAATCTCATTGCAAAAATGAAATGAAAATCACTTCATTTGTGCATGTGCATTGTTTAATGTAGATGGGTACGTTACTGACAGCAGTGACAATCCAAAGTTTCACTTGTAGTCTTACCAGTCCAAAATCAATTTAACAGGTATTAGAAGTAATGGGTTAAATAAAGGTGATTTGGTAACGGAACCTATGACAGTCCCTGGAATTGTGTCAGCTATTCTGGGTTTGCAACTATGCTTTATTTTCATGTATATTTCTGCACTGTTTCCTCCTTCGTTGTCTACTGAGAGTAGTAAGTCATGGAAATTCTCCTATGTGGAATTTTTATTTGTCTTAAGTAGTCCTGATCACTTGAAAAGTACCTGTAGAAGGTATGCTCTTCTGAATGACCTTTTTTCAACTTTATTTTTGAGTACTGTTGTGCATGTATGTGCACAGTGTGTTGTTACTCTAATGTTTCATCACATCTGGGATGCTATCAACTTTAAAATGTACCACATTTTATGTACCACATCATCAGTTATAAGACAGATCCCAATTTCTCACATGTCAAAATGATCAGGTAATGGAAAGGGATGACTGCATCCTAGAATCAGTAAAATATGTGAATTATACCAACTTCTATATAGCCACGTTAGACTTAAGAATTTTAGAAATAATATGAATAAAGTCTTAATTCCACTGGAAAGGAATACATTTGAATTTCAGTAACTACTGTAATAGCAGTCATAACTTTAGTGGTAGTATTATGGTATATAAGATATATCCCAATAAAGCTATTTAGAAAAGAAGGCAAACCCCTTGTCTATGGAAGGGTCCACTTTTTATTGCCAAGTGCTGAAGCATTAGCAAATATTTCTACAACAAAAAGCGTAGATAGTAACAGTCTATTTAGCCTCTTTGTCTCCTGCTCTCCTTTTCATATTCTTATGTGGCATATTAACACTAATGTATGCAGGGTTTTTGGTCCCCCCACCCCTTCTTTTTGGCTAATACATAAATCTTGCTTTTGGCAGCCTTTTTTTTTTTTTTTTTTTTTTTTTTTAAAGCCTGTCTGTTTTGTTTTTCTTTACCTTCCCAGCTTCCAGTTTCCCAGCCAGTACCAACTATCCAAGGCGAACCTCAGATCCCAGTTGCGACACAACCCTCAGTTGTTCCAGTCCACTCTGGTGCTCATTTCCTTCCAGTGGGACAGCCACTCCCTACTTCCTTACTCCCGCAGTACCCTGTCTCTCAAATTTCCATATCAACTCCCCATGTGTCTACAACTCAGACAGGTTTCTCACCCCTTCCCATCACGATGGCAGCTGGCATTACTCAGCCTCTGCTCACGTTGGCTTCATCTGCTACAACAGCTGCGATCCCAGGGGTATCAACTGTGGTTCCTAGTCAGCTTCCAACCCTTCTGCAGCCTGTGACTCAGCTGCCAAGTCAGGTTCACCCACAGCTCCTACAACCAGCAGTTCAGTCCATGGGAATACCAGCTAACCTTGGACAAGCTGCTGAGGTTCCACTTTCCTCTGGAGATGTTCTGTACCAGGTATTGTGTTAGCTAGCAAAAGAGGGGTTTGATCCTAGTAGACCGTCAAGAACATGGAAATCTTATAGTTGAGTGTCAGAATAACTAGCAATAACAAATGTCAATTAGAAAAGCTAAAATAGTAAAATTCTGAGAAAGGATTGAGTCAATGATGTTCAATGATATGTGATCCATTTTTCTTAAGACACTTCTTCAGAGAAAAATGGTTCTCTCGGTATTCATTGTAAGCTGATTGAGTGCTAGATGTGGTTAATAGTACACCTGGTAACTTTTACGTATATGGGTAGAATAAATACAATAGCCAACATAGTATCAACAAAAAGCTTCAGGGATTAGATTGGGAAGATTAGCGTTTCATGATATAACTGTTATGTGAAAGAATTTTTGCATTTCATGATATGACTGTTATGTGGAAGAATTTTTGCATTCTACCATATAAGATTGACTAGGAAGAAATTGTGTTCCTATTTAAATCATCTCTAGATGGAGACAACCAACAATCTAAAGTATTATTGTAGAGTCATGTCTCTTCTATTGGAACCAGCCTACTACTTCAAGAATGTGGTCTTTATATCCCCTTTAGATTATTAGAAAGAGATTGGCTACTCTTCTTCTTTGCTGTGTGCTTTTTTTTTTTCTTTTTTCTTTTTTTTTTTTTTTTGCATGTCTTGCTGTTTTGCTAATTTAATGACCCCAACCTGCTCTAACTTACCTTCCTCATTTCTGTCACAGGGCTTCCCACCTCGACTGCCACCACAATACCCAGGAGATTCAAATATTGCTCCCCCTTCCAACGTGGCTTCTGTTTGCATCCATTCTACAGTCCTGTCCCCTCCCATGCCGACAGAAGTACTGGCTACACCTGGGTACTTTCCCACAGTTGTGCAGCCTTATGTGGAATCAAATCTTTTAGTTCCTATTGGTGGTGTAGGAGGACAGGTTCAAGTGTCCCAGCCAGGAGTGAGTTTAGCACAAGTGCCCACTACATCCTCCCAGCAAGCAGTTTTGGAGGTAAATGGAATTACTGCATGTTTATCTATAAAACATATATATAACTGGATAAAAATGATAAAGGAGAAGGAAACATAGGCTCTCCTCATTTAGAACTTACTTGGAGACTATGTCAAACTAATTTCTGAATGACTTTTTCTTACAGCAGAATGAAATGCCAATGTGGGGTCCTTGTTTCCACTGGCTGTTCTGTTGGGAAGTGAGTGTGCCTTGGAGAAGATTAATTAACCCTATTAGCACTTCACTTCTCTAGCTAGAACTTTAGCCATTATTCTTGTCCCTTCACAAACTGTTTCTATTGGCAGTCATAAGAGTATCTTATCCTCCTGTGCTCTCAGCAATCATTTTTGCCCTGCTAGGAGAAAGATCTGAATTTATCTTTGTACTTTGCTCTGCCTGCCTTATTGCACACTTCTGGTAAGATGCTGGCTGCATGGCAAGTTGTAGGTTCACACTGCCTAGAAAATATGTTGGCTGACCTCATACCATGCAGTCTATAACAGAGACTAGCTTTAGAAAGTTCCTTTGGAATGTTAAGACCTTTGTCTCTAGATGCTGAATATTGAGAATTTACTGGTAAATTTAGTGCTTCTAGGACTTAGTGGGGAAGGATAAGAAAAAAAATAAGTAGATTATTGGGGATAGTGAATGACATATTACTACCAAGATTTCAATTATCTTTTTGATTTACAGAGTACTCAGGGAGTCTCTCAGGTTGTTCCTCCAGAGCCAGTTCCAGTAGCACAGCCACAAACTACCCAGCCTACCACTTTGGCTTCTTCTATAGACAGGTACTTAAAACTAGACTTTTCCTTTCTTGACTGGTAAATAGGATGGTATGAAACTCCAAAATATCACACCTTTAAATCTCATAAACTGAACTTTTTTTTTTTTTAATTTCAAAGCGCACATTCAGATGTTGCTTCAGGTATGAGTGATGGCAATGAGAATGTCCCATCTTCCAGTGGAAGACATGAAGGAAGAACTACAAAACGGCATTACCGAAAATCTGTGAGGAGTCGCTCTCGACATGAAAAAACTTCACGCCCAAAATTAAGAATTTTGAATGTAAATATACCTGATTTATGGGTTTCATCTTGTTAAAGGAATTTGACATTGAAAGAGATTTTAGAAGTCATCAAATCCAAACCATCCACTTCATAAAATAGAGATAACTATCTTTGTGTGATAATTTTTTTTTTAGGAGGCTGAGGCGGGCAGATCAAGAGGTCAAGATATCAAGACCATCCTGGCCAAGATAATTCTATTTTTTTGAGATGGAGTCTTGCTCTGTCGCCCAGGCTGGAGTTCAGTGGCATGATCTCAGCTCACTGCAACCTCTGCCTCCTGGGTCAAACAATTCTCCTGCTTCAGCCTCCTGAGTAGCTGGGATTACAAGCACGTGCCACCATGCCTGGCTAATTTTTTGTATTTTGATTAGAGACAGAATTTCACCGTGTTAGCCAGGATGGTCTTGATTTCCTGACCTTGTGATTCGCCCACCTCAGCCTCCCAAAGTGCTAGGATTATGGGTGTGAGCCACTGCGCCTGGCTAATTCTTTTTTTTTTTTTTTTAAGAAGAGTTTCGCTCTGTCTTCCAGGCTGATGTGCAGTGGCATGATCTCGGCTCACCGCAACCTTCACCTCCTGGGTTCAAACGATTCTCCTGCTTCAGCCTCCCAAGTGGCTAGGACACCACCATGCCTGGCTAATTTTTGTATTTTTATTAGAGACAGGATTTCGCCATATTGTTCAGGCGGGTTTCAAACTCCTGACCTCAAGTGATCCACCTGCCTTGGCCTCCCAAAGTAGTGGGATTACAGGCGTAAGCCACCTCACCTGGCCAGATAATTTATATAGTACTCTTCTCATTTAATCCTAACAATCTCTTTGACTTGAATATCACATTTTTAGAAAAATGGAAATGTAGTTCATAAAGCTATGATAGGGCCAGCAGTTCATATCATTTAAATATTTCTTAAGGCTTAGATGAATTGATGAATGTATAGGATCTTATAATTAGCTAAATGATATTCTTACATTCTATATTTCTATGATAAGGCACTACTTACCTTTTAGAAAAAGAATAGAGTTTTAGTAAGTAGCTCAAAGGCTGACATCTTCTCAGAGGTGTTTTTTGCTACCAGTTTAAGAGACAAAGTACTAGTGCTCGAAGAAACAGTGATAACACTATCCTTCCTTAGACATAAAATCAAGTGCTAATCTGCATTGCTTGTCAGAAATTTGGTAGTAAAGCCGAATATGGTCTTCAGAGATGATATACCTGTTTTCTTTTTAGGTTTCAAATAAAGGAGATCGAGTAGTAGAATGTCAATTAGAGACTCATAATCGGAAAATGGTTACATTCAAATTTGACCTAGATGGTGACAACCCCGAGGAGATAGCAACAATTATGGTATGTCTGCATTTGGAGTTCTAAGTTTTTCCTTAGTACTTGATCTTAATATCCATTGCTGTAGGCAGATATGCCGTATTTTGTAATCCATGTTTATTTAAAGTTATGGATTTACTTCAATGTGAATAAAACCAGCACACTCAACCTGTGATTTAGGGACGTTTTTGTCTAGGCTATATCTAACTAGATACTAAAGTTCTTAAAGAGAAGAGCTAACTTGAGTACAAAATAAATATAGATAAGTATGCAGATAGGATAGGAGTCATAAAAGTGATAGTTGAATGACATAAAGCTTGAGAAATGACACTAATTGGACTGACATCACATTTCTTTTACAGGTGAACAATGACTTTATTCTAGCAGTAGAGAGAGAGTCATTTGTGGATCAAGTGCGGGAAATTATTGAAAAAGCTGATGAAATGCTCAGTGAGGATGTCAGCGTGGAACCAGAGGGTGACCAGGGATTGGAGAATCTACAGGGAAAGGATGATTATGGTTTTTCAGGTTCTCAGGTAGGTTCACCACTCCCATAGTGAAGCTTTGTTGATTTAAAGTATTTTAATAGTGCTAAATTTGCTATGCAAAATGTCCAGTGATATCACTTGACACCCATGACTGACTACAAACGTTTATGTTCTCTTCACATGTGGCAGGCAGTTTGCTTCTCCTAGTCATTGAGATTGCATTTGAGAATGCATTTAATCACTTTTGTTTGTTGTAGAAATTGGAAGGAGAGTTCAAACAACCAATTCCTGCATCTTCCATGCCACAGCAGATAGGTGAGTTTATTTTCTTGTTTGTCTTTACCTTTGACTTCAGAAACCATTAATTAGCCGGGCATGGTGGTGGGCCCCTGTAGTCCCAGCTACTTGGGAGGCTGAGGCATGAGAATTGCTTGAACCCAGAGGCAGAGGTTGCAGTGAGCTGAGATTGAGCCACTACACTCCAGCCTGGGTGACAGAGTGAGACTGTGCTAAAAAAAAAAAAAAAAAGAAGAAGAAAAAAAAAAAAAAGCAGTTGTGTGTGCCAGTAAGGAATTCTAACAATATTTATAATAATAATGTTATTAAGTTATTTGTTTATTTTTGACCAGGCATTCCTACCAGTTCTTTAACTCAAGTTGTTCATTCTGCTGGAAGACGGTTTATAGTTAGTCCTGTGCCAGAAAGTCGATTACGAGAATCAAAACTTTTCACCAGTGAAATATCAGATACAGGTAAGGAATTGATTCTACCACATTGTTATGTAAAATCTACAGTGCCTTTGCTATGTTGAAAGCTTAATCATAAAGCAGTAATTTACGATGACACAGATAATAAAAAAGAAGAGAAAACTGAAGTTATCACCAACAGATAAACATATGGGAGAGGGAAATAGTGAAGAATAGAGAGGATTACAGAAAAAGCCAAAAAGGACAGCCATATGTAGATATAGCCTGTATAATAGGTATTGTAGTATGTGTTTATTTCTATACTTAGTATATTGTCTATGTTTTAAGGTTACTGCATTTTTTTTTTTATCAAAAATAGATATTTATGGGAGCTGACTTGGGCTAGTGGGGACAATCTTTTGAATCCATTCTTTTAGAATGGGCTGATTCTTATTTTTTTGTTTTCCTTTGCAGTTGCTGCCTCTACATCTCAAAGCCCTGGAATGAACTTGTCTCACTCTGCATCATCACTTAGTCTACAACAGGCCTTTTCTGAACTTAGACATGCCCAAATGACAGAAGGACCCAATACAGCACCTCCAAACTTTAGTCATACAGGACCAACATTTCCAGTAGTACCTCCTTTCTTAAATAGCATTGCTGGAGTCCCAACCACTGCAGCACCCACAGTACCAGTCCCTGCAACAAGCAGCGCTCCTAATGACATTTCCACATCAATAATTCAGTCTGAGGTTACAGTGCCCACTGAAGAGGGGATTGCTGGAGTTGCCACCTGCACAGGTGTGGTAACTTCAGGTGGTCTCCCTATACCACCTGTGTCTGAATCACCAGTACTTTCCAGTGTAGTTTCGAGTATCACAATACCTGCAGTAGTCTCAATATCTACTACATCCCCATCACTTCAAGTTGCCACATCCACATCTGAGAGCATTGTTTCTAGTACAGCACTGCATCCTTCTATAACAGCTTCAGCAACTTCAGCCTCTGCAGGGAGCAGCACTGCTATCCCAGGTGCTAAGCCTCCAGCTGTAGTCTCTCAGCAGGCAGCAGGCAGTACTACTGTGGGAGCCACATTAACATCAGTTTCTACCACCACTTCATTCCCAAGCACAGCTTCACAGCCATCCATTCAGCTTAGCAGTAGTACTTCTACTCCTACTTTAGCTGAAACTGTGGTAGTTAGTGCACATTCACTAGATAAGACATCTCATAACAGTACAACTGGATTGGCTTTGTCCCTTTCTGCACCATCTTCCTCTTCCTCTCCTGGAACAGGAATGTCTAGTTCTGTTTATCAGCCTGGTGGGGTGCATCCTTTGGTCATTCCATCAGCGATGGCTTCTACTCCTATTCTTCCCCAAGTAACAGGACCTACTTCTACACCTTTATTACCCCAGGTACCTAGTATCCCACCCTTGGTACAGCCTGTTGCCAATGTGCCTGCTGTACAGCAGACACTAATTCATAGTCAGCCTCAACCAGCTTTGCTTCCCAACCAGCCCCATACTCATTGTCCTGAAATAGATTCTGATACACAACCCAAAGCTCCTGGGATTGATGACATAAAGACTCTGGAAGAAAAGCTGCGGTCTCTCTTCAGTGAACACAGCTCATCTGGAGCTCAGCATGCCTCTGTCTCACTAGAGACATCACTAGTCATAGAGAGTACTGTCACACCAGGCATCCCAACTACTGCTGTTGCACCAAGCAAACTCCTGACTTCTACCACAAGTACTTGCTTACCACCAACTAATTTACCACTAGGAACAGTTGCTTTGCCAGTTACACCAGTGGCCACACCTGGGCAAGTTTCTACCCCAGTCAGTACTGCTACGTCAGGAGTGAAACCTGGAACTGCTCCCACAAAGCCACCTTTAACTAAGGCTCCGGTAAAATTCTTGTTATAAAATAATTACATAAATATGACCAGTTTTTTCCTCCCTAATTAGTACATTTTTCAATTCAGCTTTGCAAGTTAGAAACATAGTTACAAAGGTACCTGGCTTATATAGTATTTATTAAACAAATTGATGGCAATATGAGGGTATATATATGTATACAATGAACATGAGATTTTTCTTTTTTTCAAATGTGGCAGGATTTGGGGGTTAATTGTGCTGCAGTTTTCCAAGAATGTATAATTATTGGGCAAAATATGGGTATTTCTTCTGAATTGGTACAAACTGAAGAAGTCTCTATCCCAAAAGGGATCTAAATGCATCTGTTAGCAAAATGTACATAATAACAGCAGTTCATAATCTTCGTTTCAGTGAGAATGAAGCAAATTTTTGGCTTTGTTGTAGATTCCACAGTTGTACAGTTTGAAGTTTATAAAAAATTGGAAGTTAGTGAGGAAATTGATACAGAGGAATCCTAATCCTAGGACTGAAGTAACTGGAATGTATTATCTAATTAATGCTGTGGTGGATTTCCTCTTGTTCTGCCACCTTCTCCAAATAACAAGGCTGTGTTACGTCCACTGTATTGTATGCTTCAGCCCTCTTTCTGCATTTCATGGATATGAGGTTCTTTTTATAGTATGATAATGCAGAATCTTCATTCAGATAAAATAGAAATTCTTGATAATAGTATAAGATTTCTGATGCCTTTTGTTATCCGACCTGCCCGTTGGCTATTTCTTAACCAACTACTGTTTTCTTTTCTCAGAAAATCTTGTTTTGCATGGCAAAAGCCTGATAAATACTGTACCAAATAAGTAGCTCAAGAATATCTGGACACTGCCACTTATGTACATACAGCCTTTGTTCTGTTTTTCCTAAGGAACAACTTTTTACTGTATTTTACTATTCATTTTATAGCTATATAGTAACCCCGATATTAATATCATTATTTGTCATACCCTTTATTTAAGACAGATACCAGAGTGTAACATTGGTGATAAACATGCCTTAACGAGATATATTTTATTCTTATGTTTGTCCATTCAGATTAGTTGATTTGCTCTTTAGTATTCAGTCTTTACTATTTAGTGCTCATGGACTTGAATTTCCCTTCGTTGTCTGTAGGTGCTGCCAGTGGGTAATGAAATTCCCACAGGTACTCTGCCCAGCGAGCAGCTGCCACCTTTTCCAGGACCTCTAACCCAGGTGCCTCAAGACTTGACAAATTTCTTCTTGTGCCCTACTTTTTTTGACAAAGCTTGTTAAAGTTCTCCACTCTATGGTCTTGGCTTCTGCCTATTTGGCTTTGACTTAGTAACACCTTTCTTTTAAAACAGTATAGCCAGTGACCCAGGTCCTACTTAAAGTAAGAAGCTTCATAGCTCTTTTGTCTGTAATGTTGCTTCAGGTTATGCAAAAACACTTGATACTAATTTTTTTTATATCTTATGAGGGAAGAAAACAGCAAAGCTAACATTTTGCCAAACTCATATAGCTCCTTTTATCATTCACATTCTGTAGAAGAGTGAAATTGCATATATAATCAAAATTAACTTTGAAAGTGCCTTAGAAAAGAGAAGCACAGTAACATCTGATAAACTTTCTCTGAGTCCAGAGCAACCAGTTTTTTCTTGAATGTTTATCATTTATTTTACTAGCCACCTAATGAAGTAATCAGCTTACATATAAGTAGGTATAAGGGATGATGTTTCATGAAAACGATGTGTACTGTGTCTTTTAAAATAAAAGGCAACCAGCTCAGTAAGTTGCTAACATTATGAGTTTACTCATGGAGGAACTGAGACCGACCACATGAACTTGAGATTCCCATCTCACAGTCAGTTCTGCTCATTGAGTGCAGTGGTGGTCAAAATTACCTGTAGTATTTTTTATTTCCCTTTCCCACCCTAGCCCACCGCAAACACATTTAGTTGAATTTCCATAAGACAAGTACTAATTGTGAATCTGTTGTGACCAGGAAAAAGCTTCTGACATGAGACAAGCCAGTAAACTTTTAAACTAAATTAGGAATTTAGTTTTGAATCATATATAAGAAATAAGAAAAACGTGGTAAATTGCTTACTTGAGAAGCTGAGTTGGAATTTATCCCTATTTCTTTGGTCCCAATGTAGAGAGGAACACCATATAAGGAACTTTCCATAATAAAATAATATCTCCAACAGAGAAAGTACTCCATCAGCCACCAAATTTGGGGAAAAGTGTATTGTCAAAGTCCATAAATCAGGAGTTTAGTTTTAAACTTATTTTCTCTTTTAAAAACATGTATTCAGACTTCTAAGGGAGTATAAAGTGTGATAAGAAATAGCAAGTGAGACATGTGGAGGGGTAGGGTAAATAGCTAGCTCCTAGATATAGGGGGAAAGGCATAAGTGAAGGCTGTGCAAGAATAGACTGATAAAAGCCAAGACAGATGTAGGATTAGAGAATGGAAGGGTAGAAGGAAGCTGTGTGTTTAGGGTGGATAGAATGGTTAACCGGATGGAATACCCAGACCTCCCTGCCACCATCTGTAGGGAAGAAGTATACATGGAAGACCTGAAGAAGAGAATAATATCCTGTGATAGTGACAGAATGTATTAATGCCATCTTTTATTCATGGGGGCAACTTCCCAGAAAGATGTGTAAAATTGAGAAAGAAAATAGGGAACATGAGATACAGTGAATCTACCAATAGATCTTTGTACATTTTTCACAATATATTTTAAGGAGAGCACAAATAACTCTTTCTACCACTTTGAGTAACATCAAACGTAGAACGTAATAAGACTTTTCTTAAACTGCAAAAACATGAACTACTGTAAACCTTGAGAGACTGATACACAATCTGGAAACAGTGGCAAAAAAAAAGCAGTATATTAAATTTGAGTATAGTTTTATATGTTCTGTAAAGACAAATGTTATGTTGTGCCAATACAAAGCATAAAACAGTGTGTCCTATATAAATTGGCTATATATAATGGCTCTGAAGGTGCTAAGGAACTGTATTTACTCTGTTTGTTTTCATTCAGTCCCAGCAACCTCTAGAGGATCTTGATGCTCAACTGAGAAGAACACTTAGTCCAGAGATTATCACAGTGGCTTCTGCAGTTGGTGTAAGTTTTGACAATCTTGATAAAATCTCCTCATAACCCTAATATATTATATGCCTGGGACACAAACTGTAACCTAAACCATTATTAATACCTTTAACATGTATTCAGAGTCCCTGCTTGTTCTATCCAAAAGAAATGAGACAGATTAATGAAAGATTAATGCTGATCCAGGAGTGTAACTATGGAAGATATTTTATTTGAAAGGTACTTTTCTAGTTGTATGTCTGGTTAGATTGTACCACAGATCAATTCTGTGGATTTTGTATTTTTGTTTTAGAGAAGGCTAAATTTTGTCAGATAAAATAATGTTTTGATTGAAATTACTTTTCTGTGAATACTAAGTTATACCCTTAAGCATCCTATGAGAAAAATTAAGGACGCAATCAAGAAAGAGTAGAAGTTCCTTCTTTTAAAAGATGCCTTTTTTCTTTTCTTTTCTCTTCTTTTCTTTTGAGACAGAGTCTTGCTCTGTTGCCCAGGCTGTAGTGCAGTGGCACCATCTCGGCTCACTGCAGCCACCGCCTCCCAGGTTCAAGTGATTCTTCTACTTCAGCCTCCCAAGTAGTTGGGATTACAGGTGCCCACCACCACACCCGGCTAGTTTTTGACCTTAAATTTCGCCATGTTGGCCAGGCTGGTCTCAAACTCCTGACCTCAAGTGATTTGGCCTCCCGAAGTGCTGGGATTACAGGTGTGAGCCACCACACCCAGCCCTAAAAGGTGCCTTTCTTTACATCAGACTTTTAGACTTTAAAAGAAAAAAGAAAGAAAAGAAAATTCCCTCAGACATAACTGTTTCATCACATACAGTCTTTCTACCCTTTTACAAAGACCATAGGAAAGGCAATAAGGCAAAAGTTTGAGTGACTGAAGCTAAAGATTTTGTGGTGTGTCTGTCTGTGTGTTTTACAGCCTGTGTCCGTGGTGGCTCCAACAGCAGTTACAGAAGCAGGAGCACAGCCTCAGAAGGATGGTGAGAAACATCCTTCTTCCTTTTATGTTACTAATTCCATTTCTACCTGTAGGAATTCAGGGGGTTTACTGTTTCAAAGTCATAGTTTCATGTATTTGATAACTGAGGAGCATTGATAGTAATAGCTAAAATGTGAAAGATTAGCAAATAAGTAAATCTGTTCTGTTACTATTTGGCAGAGGGAAGGTTATACAGGAGGTAATGATAAGACCCTTCATTATTAGCTAGGTCAGATCCTTGCTATTACAGATTAGGGAATTAAAGCATACTGTATTTAGAAAAGTTAATTTACTGATAACCTCTTAGCTTTTGTGACACTGGATATATAGGGATAGAGAAAAGCTTGAATAGCCTGGAAATGTATTTGTCTGGAAATACAAATGTAAGATTTCAGCTAATCAATTTAAACATTATTTTTATTTTCAAGGCAATTATATTCTCAGTTGGCTCTCATTTTAAAATAAGTTACTTGCAAATCATTGGAACAGTCTAGAGAGTCTAGAAATGGAAAAATTAAAGGATCATGTAGATTATCAAATATATACAATGAAAATGATAAATTAAAAGTTGACTACCAATAAAAAGAGAATATAGAATATGAAAAAGGTGGCTTTTGAAATCATTCAAAGATGGATTTCACTCTTGTTGCCCAGGCTGGAGTACACTGGCGTGATCTCGGCTCACCACAACCTCTGCCTCCTTGGCTCAAGCAATTCTCCTGCCTCAGCCTCCCTTGTAGCTGGGATTATAGGCATATACCACCATGTCTTGCTAATTTTGTGTTCTTAGTAGAGACAAGGTTTCTCCATATAGGTCAGACTGGTCTCGAACTTCTGACCTCAGGTGACCCGACCACCTCGGCCTCCCAAAGTACTGGGATTACAGGCGTGAGCCACTGCACCCAGCTGAAGGATGGAATATTTCTATAAGTGGTTTGGAACAGCTCAAAAGCCATCTGGAAAAAAGCAAAAGCGGATCACTAGCCTAGACATAAGTAAAGTCCAAGTGGACCAAAGATGAAATATTATATGATAAATCGTACTATATGAAATCATATGGGGATTTTTTTTCGACTGTCTAGAACAGGGTTGGCAAACTTTTTTCCGTAGAGGGCGAAATAGTACAAATTTTAGGCTTTGTAGGGTGTATAGTCTCTTGCAACTTACTCAGATCTCAAAAGTAGCAATGGACAATACATAAATAAATGAATTTGTGTTTCAATAAAATTTATTTACAAAACAGGCAGTAGGCTGAATTTGGTCCATGGATCAGTTTGGAGTTCTCAGATAAGTTTAATAGAGGTGTTAAGTTCAACGTCTAATCCAGAAACAAGTAGTAATGGTTACAGAATTTTCTGCGGGGAAGAAAAGTGCCATTGAGTGCAAAGATAAATGAAAAACTGGGGAAATATATATGTATTTGTGGGGGGTTACACATATTCATATCACAAAAAGAACTCGTTTTGCTAATGTAAAGAAAGAGTTTCTAAAATTCAACATAAACCAAAAAAGGATCAAAAGATACAGAAAAAGAAACTTAGACGTGGAAGTATTCAATGTCCGTAATGATAGAAATACAAAGTAAGGCTACAAGTGATAGCCGTTCTCACCTCTCATTGGTAAATTCAAGGGTCTGATAGCCACCTACAACCTCTGTGGGGATCAATTTATAATAGTGATGTCTACTGCAGTCTTAAATAGAAATAATTCAGCACTTCCTTTATGGAGTATTTACTGTATAAATCTATAAGAGAATATTTATATTTAAAATAGCAAGAAATTCTGGGCCAGGAATGATGGCTCATGCCTGTAATTCCAGCACTTTGAGAGACCAAGGCAGGTGGATTGCTTGAGCCCAGAAGTTTGAGACCAGCCTGAGCAACATAGTGAGACCCCCATGTCTACAAGAAATTTTAAAAATTAGCCAGATGTGGGCTGGACGCGGTGGCTCACGCCTGTAATCCCAGCACTTTAAGAGGCCGAGGCAAGCGGATCACAAGGTCAAGAGATAGAGACTATGCTGGCCAACATGGTGAGACTCCGTCTCTACTAAAAATACAAAATAATTACCTGGGCGTGGTGCCATGTGTCTGTAGTCCCAGCTACAGGGGAGGCTGAGGCAGGGGAATCGCTGGAACCCAGGAGGCAGAAGTTGCAGTTGTAGTAAGCCAAAATTGCACCACTCCCCTCCAGCCTGATGACAGAGCAAGACTCCATCTTAAAAAAAAAAAAAAAAAAAAAAATTAGCCAGATGTGGTGGTATGCACCTGTTGTCCTAGTGTCCCAGGAGGCTGAGGAGGAAGAATCACCTGAACCTGGGAGGTTGAGACTGTAATGAGCTGTGATTGCACCACTGCACTCTAGCCTGGATGACAGTGTGAGACCCTGTGTCAGGGAAAAAAGAAAAGAAATTCTGAATAATTTAAATGCCCATCGGTAAAAACCTGATTAAAATATGAAATATATATTTATGTTATATGCATAGGGTATGACACTATGCAGTCATTAAAAAGAATGAGGTATATTGATATGGAACGATCTCAAAGGTATAGAATGACATGAAAACATCAAAGTCAGTCAATACCATACTAGCTGCATAAAATAAATATATCTCTAGAAAGAAACTCAAAGTGTTTTCCCTGGAAAAGTTTTTAAATTGCCCCAAACTACTTACCAATAATTCTGTGAACTGTACTGCCCTATTCTGGAATGTATCTAAGTGTTACATTGAGAAAATAAAATTAGCTGGTTTTCATTTAAAAATGGATCTTAGCTGGGCATGGTGGTTCATACCTGTAATCCCAGCACAGTTGGAGGCTGAGGCAAGCATATCACCTGAGGTCAGAACTTTGAGACCAGCCTGGGCAACATGGTGAAACCCTGTCACTACTAAAAATGCAAAAATTAGCCAGATGTGGTGGCATATGCCTGTAATTCCAGCTACTCAGGAGGCTAAGGCAGGAGGATCACTTGAACCCGGTAGGTAGAGGTAGAGGTTGCAGTGAGCTGAGAATGCGCCGCTATACTCCAGCCTGGGAAACAGAGCAAAACTCCATCTCAGTAAAATAAAATAAAGATGGGTCTTTAATGTCCTCAGTAAAATCTCATCCTTCATTTCACTTACTTATATCTCTGAATTAAAGAAAGTGAGCTTTTAGTCCCTGTTAACCTTTGTTTTTATAGTATGTATTAATGTTGTAGTTAGTATCTAGTAGTAGAGCAAATGATAACCATTTTCCCCTGTTGGACAAAGCCTCATGGAGAGAGGAGATAGGGAAGTTATCTTTGCAGCCAACAGCTTTCCTCATGTGTAGTTTGATTTTGCCGTTTTTCTAGTCAAAGGGAAAAGAAGCTAACTGGAAAGAGACACTTATATTTTCCTCATTCATGTATTTCTTTCAGTTTCTCAAGTCACAGAAGGCCCTATCCTAACAACTAGTTCAGGAGCTGGTGTTTTTAAGATGGGACGATTTCAGGTAAGACAGTCTCTTTCCATTGCCTTGATTCCTTCCTTTGGAGGAGTTGTTTTTATAATAAAATTACTGCCTACCTATTTGGGACATAATTACCAGTCTAGCAATCCCTGTTACATAGTACTTTATAGCTCTTTTTAGCATTTTCCTAATAAAAGTAATGAATACTAATGAAAGAAAATATAGAATACTTACAACAGTAGAGACACGGTAGATAGTCATACTGTCTACCTGACCACCTCCCAAGATTACTTTTTGGGGTGTATTTCTTTTCACTCCATGTTTTCTGTACAAGTGTGTATCTAAAATAGACTTTCACTTCTCCTGTTCTGAATGTTATAGCTATTTTTCTCATCCAGCAGTTGGTTTACCTAACCAATCTTCATTGTCATTTCTAATTTTTCCAACTTAAGTAACATCTTTGTATATAAAAATATTTTCCACGTTTAGAATAATTGTCATAGGATTAATTTTTTGTTGTTGTTTTGAGACAAGAGTCTCACTTTGTCACCAGGTGCCAGGTTGGAGTGCAGTGGCGTGATCTGGGCTCACTGCAACCTCCGTCTCCCGGGTTCAAGTAATTCTCCTGCCTCAGCCTCCCGAATAGCTGGAACTACAGGCGTGCGCCACCACACCCAGCTTATTTTTTGTATTTTTTAGTAGAGACAGGGTTTCACCATGTTGGCCTGGGTGGTCTCGATCTCTTTGACCTCGTCATCTGCCCACCTCGGCTTCCCAAAGTGCTGGGATTACAGGCGTGAGCCACTGTGCCCGGCCAGGATTAATTCTTTAATGAAAACACATGATACCATATCACTTTATTTTACCAGCTGGTCCATCATGTGAGCATTTTCTGGCTGGGGAGAGTAGGTGATAATTTTCTCATTTGTAAACAAGTCCTGAAAGCTTATCGGTGGGCTTAGTTTGTACTTGTAAATACATGGACAAACCAGAACAACGATCTGGATCCTCTTTTTTAGTTACCAGTTGTGTTGATTCTTGAGGCTTAGCTGGCATTTAACATTTATTGGATTTAACTCTTGTAGTTTTTCTTATTCACAGGCAACCCTAAAAATTCTACATCTTGTTAATTTATTTTATTTATTTAGTTTTTTGAGATGGAGTCTCACTGTGTTGCCCAGGCTGGAGTGCAGTGGCAAAATCTTGGTTCATGGCAGCCTCCACCTCCTGACATCAATTGATTCTCCTGCCTTAGCCTCCCAAGTAGCTGGGATTACAGGCATGCACTACCATGCCTGGCTAGTTTTTGTATTTTTAGTAGAGACAGGGTTTCACTCTGTTGGCCAGGCTGGTCTCAAACTCCTGACCTCAAGTGATTGCCCACTTCAGCTTCCCAAAGTGCTGGGATTACAGATGTGAACCACTACACCTGCCCCTGAACTTTGGCTGTTTATATGTCGACTAAGACATGAATCCGAATTCTGTGTATGACATGAAATATGAAATTAAATTATTTACTTTGTAAGCTTAGCCAGCCACATAGACTCTATATCTAAGTACAGATGTGTTCTCTGTTATGGTATTCAATTTTTCTTCAGAGTCAAAGATGGAAGCACTATGTAAAGAGATAATTAGACTACTCATTGAGAGGAAAATAAAGTGATTCTTTTTTTCCTTTTTTAAGTTGTCTGTGATAGAAATCAGATACTGAGAAATTCAGTTTTTAATCCTACTTTGTTCTTTTTTTAATCAGGTTTCAGTTGCAGCAGATGATGCCCAGAAAGAGAGTAAAAATAAGTCAGAAGATGCAAAGTCTGTTCATTTTGAATCCAGCACTTCAGAGTCCTCGGTGATGTCAAGTAGTAGTCCAGAGAGTACCTTGGTGAAGCCAGAGCCAAATGGGATAACCATCCCTGGTATCTCTTCAGATGTGCCAGATAGTACCCACAAAAGTCCTGCCTCAGAGGCAAAGTCAGACACTGGGCAGCTTACCAAGGTTGGACGTTTTCAGGTGACAACGACAGCAAACAAAGTGGGTCGTTTCTCTGTATCAAAAACTGAGGACAAGATCGCTGATGCAAAGAAAGAAGGACCAGTGGCATCTCTTCCTTTTATGGATTTGGAACAAGCTGTTCTTCCTGCTGTGATACCAAAGAAAGAAAAGCCTGAACTATCAGAGCCTTCACATCTAAATGGGCCATATTCTGACCTGGAGGCTGCCTTTTTAAGTAGGGATGTGGATGATGGTTCTGGTAGTCCACACTCCCCTCATCAACTGAGCTCAAAGAGCCTTCCTATCCAGAATCTAAGTCAAAGCCTTAGTAATTCGTTTAACTCTTCTTACATGAGTAGTGACAATGAGTCAGATATCGAAGATGAAGACTTAAAGTTAGAGCTGCGACGACTACGGGAAAAGTAAGTATATTTTCTCTTGTGAAAAATGTCGGATAAGGTTTTAAAACCTAGATCCTAGAACCAAGATTAATATTATTTTTGCCACAACATGCTAATGTCTCATTTCTTTTAAAGAGAGTGCCACAAAATCCCCATCCCACCCCTGACCCCTTCCCACCCCAACACACACACACACACACACACACACACACACACACACACAACACACGATTCCTAACTACTGACTCACAAGCACAAGCAGCTTCTCTTGTACTGATAAAGACCCACAGCATTTCTAGTTCTAGAACTTCTTAAGCACCTTTGTATTGTTACTGTATCATTATTATTATTATTTTTACTAATAGCAGATTTTATCACTATTAACTGATCTTTATTTATCAGTCCACCAAATGAATCTGGTAATGGCACTGGGATATATGATTATGTTGGCAGATTTTGTTTGGCAAATTGAATCAGAGTAGCAAATTCAGCTATTGTGTGCATGGCCTCAAAAGTCAGGAAATATTTTTCCCCTAAAACATTATCAACCATTTGTTGTTGGCTAGGAGCTTTTTGGAATATGGCTTCGGTAATGAAGGCCAGCAAGGTGAGCTGACAAGCTAGAACCATATGGTAGCACATTTGGGGAAAAGGTTCATTAGTAATTAGTACATACTTGAAAGCAGATTTAGGAATATGCTGTTAATTCTTGTTTGAATGAAGATGATTATGGTATTTTAAATTATGTTTGGTTATCTTTCTTAGACATCTTAAAGAGATTCAGGACCTGCAGAGTCGCCAGAAGCATGAAATTGAATCTTTGTATACCAAACTGGGCAAGGTGCCCCCTGCTGTTATTATTCCCCCAGCGGCTCCCCTTTCAGGGAGAAGACGACGACCCACTAAAAGCAAAGGCAGCAAGTCTAGTCGAAGCAGTTCCTTGGGGAATAAAAGCCCCCAGCTTTCAGGTAAAAAGCACCGGACTAGGTCAGCCACAGCTCTCCTGTCTTTTGTTTCTGTCTCCAACTGTATGTAACCTGCTGAACATTTGTTATTTTTGTTAAATTTCAAAAGAATTTGGCTCTCCTGATACTTTTGCCCCCTTGACTTCTGTACTTATATTTATTGTGCCTCTTTTCGAATCTGTAGAAGTAGATTTAGTGAGTACAACGGATTATTCCATCGTAATCCATATTGCTATCCACTGGTAGTCTTTATTTATAGTTATTCTTAAGGATAGACATTTAGCTTTGCCTGTTAATTCATATAACTCACATTTAACCAGACTCTTGAGCAGTTGGAAGAAAATACATTATTCTCTGTTTAATAAAGTTTGGGTAGATTGTTTTAGTGGATGAGTTAGTCATAATTGCAACTTAGATGAATGTAATTGTCAAATGGATATTTGTGTGTATGTCTAAGTGGTAACTTCTTGATTAAGGTTTTTGTTTCATTTATATTAGGTTAGAGAACTTGCTAGTCGTTAAAATCAGAGAAATAAGTTATACTGTCTTGTAATGGAGTGTGTGTGTGTGTGTGAATTTTTTTTTAAGAGAGAGGGTCTCACTCTCTTGCCTTGGCTGGAGTGCAGTGGTGTGATCATAAAACACAACACAACAGCCTCAAACTCCTGGGCCCAGGTGGTCCTCCCACCTTAGCCTCCTGAGTAGCTGGGACAACGGGGGCATACCACCACACCCCGCTACTTTGAACTATATTTTAATTGGGATAGACAGAGAATTCCTAATCCTTAGGCGAGATCATGGTAGTGTTAACCCAATTAGTTGAAAAGAAAAAGAAGGTTAAAATATGTTAGAAAGCTGTTGCAAACTTCTTAGCAGTTCCATTCTGTGGAAGGTTTCATAGATATCCAAATCTAGCACATTAGGACCAATTCATAGTGATTGTAAGAGAGAAATCAGCCAAACCAAAAATAATTTTAAATATCCATTGCTCTGTAGTCACCTACGTCATTTTTTGGCACCTCTTTTGTATCTGATCTCTGATGCATGTTTATAAGAAAGTGGAGACTGCCTAACAAACATGATTCAACACGTTTTCTAATAGGGTAAAAAAAAAGCAATCGTGGAATTGCAGATTGGCATCTGAGTATCCACCTCATACTCTGGTCGTTTTACTCTGCTCAGATGTGTGGCCCCTTTAGGTTTTCTAAAGCTAAACAGCTCTGGAGTAGTATATATAGCCCAATTACCTATCGATTCTTTTTTGTGAGACTGAGTTTCGTACATCTTGCCCGGGCTAGAGTGCAATGTCATGATCTCGGCTCACTGCAACATCCACCTCCAGGTTCAAGCAATTCTCCTGCCTCAGTCTCCTGAGTAGCTGGAATTACAGGTGCCCTCCACCACGCCTGGCTATTTCTATATTTTTGGTAGAGACAGGGTTTCACCATGTTGGCCAGTCTGGTCTCGAACTCCAGACCTCAGGTGACCTGCCTGCCTCAGCCTCCCAAAGTACTGGATTCCAGGTGTGAGCTCCTAGCCTAACTATTGATTCTTAGTGTTATTCCTCACTTCTCCCTTTAGTGAGGACTTTGTTCTTTCATCAGTTTGTAGCTTTTGATCCATTGTTTACCGCTTGGTGAAACAAACCAAATGTATAAGAACAGTGCCTAATGAGTATGTGGAGAAAGCTGGACATGTTTCCTCATGCCAGTTTATCTTTTGGCAGGTAACCTGTCTGGCCAGAGTGCAGCTTCAGTCTTGCACCCCCAGCAGACCCTCCACCCTCCTGGCAATATCTCAGACTCCGGGCAGAATCAGCTGTTACAGCCCCTTAAGCCATCTCCCTCCAGTGACAACCTCTATTCAGCCTTCACCAGTGATGGTGCCATTTCAGTACCAAGCCTTTCTGCTCCAGGTCAAGGTAATAAAGCAACCATCATCGTCCAAAAACAATAAAATGGAGATATTGCCATACCTGGGACAAAAGCCTGTTAAGGCAGGTTGGGAGGCAAGCCGACCAGAACATACATAGCCTGTGTGTTGTACACTTAAGAATCTTTGGGAGAAAAGGGAAGTAGAGTGATAATGAGAATCGCTGCTCCCGTTAGGTGAAGTTACTTTTTTTCAAGAAATTACAGTGAAAAGTTACATCTGTGACCTATATGAATCACTCATTTGGGATTTAGAACTTATGCTTTGATACTCAGCTGAGATTTCCTGGATGAAATTCTAAGACTTTTTAGCAGTTTCTGAAAGCTAATGTATTTTCTTAGCCATTGTAGAATTTCGTTACTTTTAAGTATAGGAGTGGCATACTAAAATGAATAGCCTTACAATTCAATATTTTATCCATAATCAATTTCCAAATATAGTTCTGTTTATTAATGATTGCTGAAAACATTCCTGCAGAGTAAAGAGCTTCTAGTAGTATTAGAACAAGAATCAAAAAGTCTTGGGCATATGGGCGAGAAGAATGAAAAATATATAGGTACTGGCTTATATGCCTTTGCCACAGTTTCACAGAAATGAGATAGTCTCTTCACAAGATGATTGCACTTGATTGGTAAGGAGGGCAAACTACCTAGCTTTATTCCAACTAAGAAAAGCTTCCGCATTTTGCAGATGAATACAATTAAGACCTAATATTTCATCTCTTACATATCTGACTTTCTCCCAGAAGCTTGTTCTTCTATGTGCCATCTTAGTGCATTTCACCACCCCAGCCTCAAGTTTCTAACATCTTGTAGTTGTGTTCTGTCTCTTCTCCTCTCTCTGTTCTTCCCTGTTTTTCCCCTCTCACAGGCTGTGCGAAGTTTAACTGTGCATCTGAACAGGTGACATTCAAACCTGGTGGCAGGAGGACCCGATTTCTGAGTACGCCCTGCTTGGCTCTTTGTGTGTAACACCTTTACTCCTTCCTTGTCCTTGTTTTTCTGCTGCTTGGATCTGATGTTTCACGCAATCCATTTTCATTTGTCTCTTTTTGTGTATCATCTATTCAGTGGCTTGCTAAATTACTATTACCCTCAGAAGTTTGGGCCCCCATGTTAATTATGATTTAAAAAGTCAACAAGTTTCTACAAATTTCAATATAACTTTCTGGTAGAAGTGCTTCTTCATAGATCTGTGGCAGAGAGTAGATATGGTATCTAGGCAATAGATTGCTGGGTCATTTAGAATAATGAAGACTGGACTCCACAGTCATAGTCAGTGCTCTCTCTCTGCCGTATCATTAGAAATGACAGAAATCAGCCAGACACGGTGGCTTACACCTGTAATCCCAGCACTTTGGGAGGCTCAGACAGGAAGATTGCGTGAGGCCAGGAGCTGGAGACGAACCTGAGCAACGTGGTGATACCCCATCTCTACAAAAAAAAAAAAGTTGGCCTGGCATGGTGGTGTGCGCCTGTAGTCCCAGCTACCGGGGAGGCTGAGGCAGGAGGATTACTACCTTAAGACCAGGAGGTTGAGACTGCAGTGAGCCATGATTGCACCACTGCATCCCAGCCTGAGTGACAGCAAGACTCTATCTCAAAAAAAAAAAAAAAAGAAAAAAAGAAATGAAATGACAGAAAGCATTTTGACCAATGATGCCTTTAGATCCTGGCAGCAGGTAAAAGTTATGTACCTTTTTTTTTTTTCTCTTCTTTGACAGAGTAGATTGAAATCTCTTTTTCTTCTCAATTAAGCCTAAGCATCTACCAGTTGAAAAGATGCTAGAATCTCTTCATTGGATCATTCCACCACTACTCTCCTCCAACCCCATAAAATCAGTAGTTCAAAAGGGGTTTTAGTTCGATTATTCCAGTAACGCACTTAGTCTAATAAAGACCAAAGCCCAACACCTGCAAGTAAAAATTATTCTTTTAACATGATTTCTGGAATTTCCCAGCTTTTTACTTAAAAATAAGGCACAATAGCAAGTCACCTCGTCTTCCCCATATGTTAAATGAAGATAATGCCATTGTCCTATGGCCGTTGTACAAGTACAGAGAGACAGGTAGCACTTGGAAAGCACTCGTGATTTCTCTCTGATTAGTCAGTGCCTGCCTGGCACATAATAGGTAGTCAATAACTGTTAGTTGAAGAAAAGCTTAAAACACAAACAAAAACATAAAGTAGAAAAACCTTCGTTATGATTTGGATAAAGATCTTCTCTATTAAGGCCTCAAACTTCTGATGTGGTTATTGAAGTGCTTTTTAAATGCATGTGCTCAGGCCATCACTGTTTCTGAGTACGGGTCAGAGGTCCTTGGGCCTCTCCATGGTGGGAAGAATTTACACCTCCCTTTGTTCTCTGTAGTGACCAGATTTAAAGGGAAGTATAACACATTTACCTTCCATTTCCCTCACACATTTGTAATCCTTCTAGCACCCCTATTCTTTTTACCTGCATTAGTAATGAATTGGCTCTACTTGAGAGATAGTCTTATACTGACCTACTGCACATTCACTAGTCCCAGGCTATTTAACCAAGAAGAGGGTGGAAGGCACTACCCAACTCGATAGTTTTCCAGGCATTTTGGGGGTTTTTCTGAGGACTCAGATCAATAATTTTTCTGGTCAGACCTTCCTGGACTGTGCATATTAGCCCTTTGACACTTGAATAAGCATTTAATTTGCATGTCCACCTAGAAAGCTGCAAGGACATTAGTAGTAGGAGCTGGGTGTTTTTGAAGTAGAATGTGACATGTCAGGCCTATGGTCTACTGCCTGAAATGTCTGAGAGGGAAGAAAGGGAACCAAAGCTTCTGTTTATGAAATACAATGTGACAAATACCACTTTAATTAAATTCCATAAATTCTCATCCCACTTTTAAAGGTAGGTGGTATTACCCCTTTTGTTCAAATGAAAGTGGTCAGAAATATTGAATCTTGTCACTTCCCTTTGGGTATAAAATGAGAAGGCCTACATCTGTTGAAGTCACATCAGGATACATCATGTAAGCCTGGTGAACAAATCCCAAGAGACAGACTTGAAATATGGAAAGGAAACAGGTACTTTAAAGAGTGGGGATCTTACTTGCTTGGGACGTATTATTCTATGCTCTCAATATAGATAATGATTTGGAAGCACGGCTTGGCTTACTGCTATATTTATGTTCAGAGATTGCTTGTTTTCCACATACTTTTAAAAATTATTCTGGAAGGGAAGGGGTTAGTACGGTCTAGGATGTGGAAATATAATAGCCAACTTAAATGAACTTAAAACTGTAACAATGATACTATCAGCCTACTGTGGTGGGATTGCTAATGCATTTAATTGAGTGCTTTTTAACAGCCCAGTTGGAGAAACGGGAAGTGGGACAGGATCAGTGGAAGTGCTGCTTGGGTATTTGAAATTCAAGCAGTGAGACCTGAGAAACTGGAGTTCCTCTCCGATTTTAGAACCTCAATGCAGGGCATTACTCATTTAGATACAAAGATTGGGTGTAGAAACTCAACATCTGTCAGCTAGGTAACATCAGATAATCATGTTAAGGCTAACAGCCAGTTAGATACATTATTTAGAACCGTATTTATGCAAGGGCTACCAGGTCCTACCTATCTGTCTCCCCTCCTGCTTTCTCTTGCTGGGCCTTTATGTGCTGTTTGGAGATTCTAAATATTTTACACTGATGTTTATCTTTAACACATTGCTTCTCTCTTTGTGCTTCAGGGAAGATGGTGAAAAAAGTCTGTCCTTGCAACCAGCTCTGTAGTAATTATCTTTTCTTTCTGTTATTTTTGGTCCTTGATTGCAAATCCTGTTAACCATGAGTTATTTGAACTCTGCAGTCTCATAGCTCCCTGATTCCTAACTTCCATCTATCTCTGTACCTTATTCTAATAAATATTTAACATGCTTAACTGCTAACTACTGGCTAGATTAAGAAATTATCTCACACTTAGTGCCCTCAGTGATAACCCCATGTCAGCCTAGCTTGTGACAGACATGGATTGGTAAGGGCCATGGATGTGTATAGGGAGATCAGGGATGCCTAGTTCCTATGGGAGAGAGATCCTTTAGTCAGTAAATATATGCTGGGCAGTGTTACTACCCCAACAGGAAACTCAGCAGTGATGAAAGCATACAAAAGTCCATGCCCTCCCTTTGTTCACATTGAAGTGGGAGATGTCTGCTAGATTGGTGAGGAAAGAAACACCACTTTGTAGAGTTTGTCTTCTTAGACTATGGCTTCTCATTAAAGTACAGATAGTTCGGCAACCCAGCAGGCCATTTACAATGTTCTAGGTAGGGTCAACAGGGAAATTCTGTACTTGGGATGCTGGGCTATAAGTTATGGTTCATAATAGGTTATTGTTACTAGGATCTAGTGGTGCGGAAGTAGGGAAAATGTATTATAATGGCAGGAGGAAATTTAAAAATGAATCTTGAGGGTAAGTCTATAGTATTTATTAGGGCTTTCCAGAAGAACTAAAAAAGGTTTAGAAGTTAGCATATTCTCTATAGCTTTTATAGTTGTCTCCTTTTCTTAGGAGTTAATTTCTGGTCAGAAAAAGATAAGTTTGTTTCATTCTTAAATGGGAAACCTGTATACAGAATCCAGAATGTAAAGGTTTAACTGTATGGTTGACCCTTCCTTGTGGTTTCTCTTTCCTTGTGGGAAGAGAATCCTGTATTAGGTAATGTAGGTTAAAATGAAAAGTGAAATTTGGTTCTAAAGGGGCCTTGCAGCATCAGGGGCAACAGACTAGTATCAGACTAGAGAGGTGTGTCTCCCAGCATGAGCTCTTTGTGTATAAGCAATGGTCATGTCTCCTGAGCTTCTTGTATTTTTAGCTTTTGACAGCCCTGCTCCCCTATGATTATTTCTGGTTTTTGTTTTGATTGACTCTCACATCAAGCTCACCAAGCAATAATCATTTAAACAGGATGATAGTCCCCATGCATGTGATATGCTTGCTTTCAAGATTGAGGCACTCACTGTCATGACTGCGCGTCCTCATTGCATGTGCTTCCCACTTCACCACCCACTCACATTTGCTGTTCATGGAAGGCTGTTTCCTGTGCTTTAATACTTTTCCACTTGGGTTTCCTGTACTGTAGGGGAACTTACACTCTTCCTTTTACACTGTATGTGCAATAGCCATCCCCTTGTGGCTCCAGCAGACACCAAGAAGTGAGCTAACACTCACACTGCAATAGTTCCATGTCTTGCCATGGTGGTAAGAAGCATGTGACCTTCCTCACTCTGCAGCTTTACCTCAGAATTAGCTGGTACTCCAGCACAGACATGCTTGTGTGTGCCGTTTCCCTGGTGGTAGGATATAAGCTTGACTTGAGACCAGTGATGGTCAATAACAGGCTTTTAAGTGGCAGGGTTGCGTTAGGTGTGCTGCTGTGTCTGATGCTGCTTTGACTGAAAGCAGAAAAACGCATGCACTTATTTACCCCCAGCTTTACTTGGATATCTTAAGGACTAGTGATTCACAACTTAATTTAGCAGCTTTTATGTAACATGTGAGATCTGGTAAGACAGTGGGGGGGTGAGGAAAACAGACAAGACCATGACTCTTCTTTCCCTCTTCCCCAAAACGTGCCTCTTCGAATAATCTTCAGTGTGCCCTCCAGCAGAGCCGAAATCAGGCAGGACATAGACTCCTTCTTCCTTTCTCATCAAACCATAGAAATAGAATTCCTCCATCATAACCGCAAAGCTTCCGCCTCCCCTTTGCACCCTGCCTCAGCTGCATTTTCTTGTCCCTTCTACATGGGAGTGCTTGCTGTTCTGGGAAGATGGGGAGAAGCAGGGGGAATCCTTGAGCCAACTGAAACTGAGGTCATCTTCGGGAAAACCATGTCTTCCTGGAGTTGAAAGATTCAGGCACACCATACAGTCCTTTCCTCATGAGTAATCTTGTTCCATTACTCATAGGAAATTGGGAGAGGTTAACCCCTCTCAAGTTTATGTTTGCACGTTCATGTTTATGGGTGAAAAAGTTTTCTGAACACAGCATGCTACTCTTATTACCTCTCTGTATTTAAAGAATGGCTAGACTGAGCATGGTGGCCCACGCCTGTAATCCCAGCACTTTGTGAGGCTGAGATGGCAGGATTGCGTGAGCCCAGCAGTTCATTACTGAGCAGCATATGGAGATTATGTCTATACAAAATATTAAAAAATTAACTGGGTAACTGGGTGTGGTGGGGCACACCTCTAGTCCCAAGCTACTTGGGAGGCTGAGGCAGAAGGAGTTTGAGGCTGCAGTGAGCTGTGATTGTGCCACTGTATCCAGCCTGGGTGACAGAGAAGAGACTCTTCCTAAAAAAAAAAAAAGAAAGAAAAGAAAAAGCCAGGTGTGGTGGCTCACGCCTGTAATCCCAGCACTTTGGGAGGCCAAAGCAGGCAGATCACCCGAGGTCAGGAGTTCAAGACCAGCCTGGCCAACATGGCGAAACCCCATCTCTACTAAAATACAAAATTAGCTGGGCTTGGTGGTGCGCGCCTGTAATCCCGGCTACTCTGGAGGCTGAGGCAGGAGAATTGCTTGAACCCAGAAGTTGGAGGTTGCAGTTAGCTGAGATTGCGCCATTGCACTCCAGCCTGGGCAATAGAGTAAGTCTTAAAAAAAAAAAGGTGACAGTGTCCACAAGGCTTGGAAACCCCTTCTCCTTAGCCAAGCATCTATTCCTACTCCTACTTTAACCTTGCCCAAGGCACAAGAAATCCTCTTTTGTCCTGCATTCTGCAAAATTTCAGAGCAACAAGCCTTGCTAATCGTATCGCACTTCCATCAGCAACATGATGCTGGGAATGGCGTACTGGCAAGCAGTTCCAGTACTCTTAGGTGCTTTGTGAAAGAAGCCCCTGCCTTGTATACCTACCGTCATCCTGAGTTGCTCAGCCTTATATAAAGCAGCTACTGAAGAGAAACAGTTTTCATCACCCTATTATACCAAAACCAATGGCTAAACAAAACCTTGGAACCCTTCTTGCATGGCTTCCCAGTTCATCCTCTCCCCATTCTGCGGCTTGCCATTCATCACCCCGTGAAGTTTTCCCTTTCCCTGAAATTGTAACCTAGGCTCCTTTTAATGCTTGTATTCTGTTGCTTATCATAGGGACTAGCAGCACAAACACTGTTGGGGGAACAGTGAACAGCCAAGCCGCCCAAGCTCAGCCTCCAGCCATGACGTCCAGCAGGAAGGGCACGTTCACAGATGACCTGCACAAGTTGGTAGACAATTGGGCCCGAGATGCCATGAATCTCTCAGGCAGGAGAGGAAGCAAAGGGCACATGAATTATGAGGTAAGTCTCTCTTTTGCCATAGAGAATCACGTTAACACACATCTGAATCCAGATATAAACTACTAAGCTGCTGCTTGATGTCTTATACCAGGACCTTCTTTAGTAGCTCATTAATTTTAACATTTTAGAAAAACAAGGCAAAAATCCCCCAGCTACCCTTTTATTTTTTCTTCCCTGAATTCCTAATCTTATTGGTCAGCCCAACTTTATCTTCTTCCTTTTTCCGTCATCATCCTGAACTACAGGACACACACATGCACATGACAGCCCTCCCCTCTCATCAGGATTATTTTCACCCTTACTTGGTAAATATAAAGAGCCAATAAATACTATAGAAGACTCTCTTGCTGTATCTTACAGGATTAGACCAGAAGTGTATGTTAGCACCACACATTTTATACCCATGTCTCTTAAACCCACACCAGACTTGACATGCATTTGTTTTGTTTTCAGGGCCCTGGAATGGCAAGGAAGTTCTCTGCACCTGGGCAACTGTGCATCTCCATGACCTCGAACCTGGGTGGCTCTGCCCCCATCTCTGCAGCATCAGCTACCTCTCTAGGTCACTTCACCAAATCTATGTGCCCCCCACAGCAGTATGGCTTTCCAGCTACCCCATTTGGCGCTCAGTGGAGTGGGACAGGTGGCCCAGCACCACAGCCACTTGGCCAGTTCCAACCTGTGGGAACTGCCTCCTTGCAGAATTTCAACATCAGCAATTTGCAGAAATCCATCAGCAACCCCCCAGGTTCCAACCTGCGGACCACTTAGACCTAGAGATATTAACTGAATAGATCTGGGGGCAGGAGATGGAATGCTGAGGCGGGGGGAGGGGGGTGGGAGTAGCCTATATACTAACTACTAGTGCTGCATTTAACTGGTTATTTCTTGCCAGAAGGGAATGTTTTTAATTCCACGTTGAGTCCTCAGAATGGAGAGTCTCCCCTGCTCTACTAACTGGAGTAGGAGAGGAAGGAAAGAGCAGCTTTCTTGTAAAGGGGCAGCTTCAGACCATGCTTTCCTGTTTATCTGTACTCAGTAGTGAGGATGAGGGCTAGGAAAGTCTTGTTCATAAGGAAGCTAGAGAACTCAATGTAAAATCAAACCCCATCTGTAATTTTGAGTGGGTGGAGCTCTTGATTTTGGTACATGCCCCAAATCCTTTACTCCCTCAAGAATCTGAACCACAAGACAAAAACAACCTATTGGGCTCTCTCCTACCCTGCCCTCCTTCCTTTTCCCCCCCTTCTCTTTTTGATTTTGTTTTTCTTTGCTCTTTAGAACCCAGTGAAAAATACCAGGGGACTGGGGTGCAACCCTTTCTTATAATAGGTCATTAGTGCTTTAAGCAAAAGATACTAGCAGCTTTGACTGCAGCATTAGCAATTAGGAAAAAAAAAAATAAGTTCCCTGCGGACATGTAACTTTGCCATCAGTTTTGATGTGGAAACACTGTGATATATAAAATGTTGTTGGACAACAGTAGTTTTAAGAGTAAAATATGAAACGTTTAAAAAGTTCCAAAAAAAGCTAGCTCTGTCCTTTACTTATTGAGACACTTTAACTTTTTCCTTTGTATTTCCATTGTATTAGATAAATAAATGTGAATGTAAAATTGTATAAATTACTGTACTTGAATACTTCTGTTTCCCAGTGTTGCTTGCTGGACATTTTAGTGCCTTGGACTTATATTGCTTCTGCCATTAGCATCAACTTATCAGACCCCAGATCAATAAAGGGCATGTGGAAGGAAATCTTAGGTCCATGTGACCCCAGCAGTGGATATGCCAAAGGGAAATAGAAAAAGTATTTTTTTAAGTCATTCAACAACTTTGTCTAGAGCAGGTGTAAGATGAGTAGGTGGGAAGTTAAGTTGGCATTAGTGGTTAAAAACAAAGTTCTGTTTCAGGAAGAGTGAGGAGGGGGTGTTAGAACAAAATTGGGCAACTTTTTTAAAAGACTAAGAATGGTATGTGCTGGGTGAAAGACAAAGACTAAAGAATGAGGAAACAAACTTGTTTTGAAGATATGTGATGCCTGGCCAATGACTGTCATGTAAACCTTTATTTGAGCGAGGCTTGAACAGACGTGACCTAGAAGAAACTGAACATAAAGAAAAGGGGGTGGGGGCTAGTTATCAAGTTGGGGAACCTGATAGTGAAAAGTCACAGATGGAGAAAGTTGCTCTAAGAAAAACTGGATTGCTTTCCTCTTGCTGCACATGTACCATGCAGTTCTCAGCTTGGGGTACTATATTTTGTGGAAAGTGAATCTTTCCACATCTGAATTAATAATCGTCGTAGGAAAGGATACTTATTCCTACTCATTTCCTTTATGATGTCCAAATGGTTGCAGGATCATAATCTTTTGTGCCACCTTTATTTCCAGAAATACAACTAATATGCTCACATTGTCAAATATTCCCATTAAGTAATAACTGCAACCAATCAGTGTTATTTAGTGCTATGCCTACTTGTAATGGGTAGTTCTGTTGTTTTCAGAGCTTTCCGGAAATACTGTCCTAATTGGCTATGTTTGGGATCTTTGTTATCTCTGAAGACGGACAAAGAAGCTAAGACTCTTAATTTTGGGGTGCTTCTTGACTCTTAGTTGGGAAACTGACATATTTCCAAACTTTTACCCACGTCAATGGCTTATTCCGGGAATCACCACCACCACAGAAAGAAGCTGAGGCTCTCCGTACCTGTTCATTCCTTACGGGCCCTGCTTCCCTTAGTAAGTTGGTCTGTGGCCCTAAGTATGCAAATAAGAGCTGAAGGTTTTTAAAAGGTAGAAAGGAAAAGGGCAGGGGTTTCAACTCCTGCTTTAAAAATATTTACTTTTATTTATTCTCTGCTTATATATCTTGTGGAGAGAGTGAGAGTAAGGATAGAACCAACAAGGAGCCGAGTAGCTGAGACAGGGACCACCTAAGAGTGAAAATACTTTATATGAGAGGAGCAGGGAAGCCTAATGCAGCACGTTAGCATTTGTTATTTGGGTTTAATAATTTTGAGATTTTTTTCACTCGTACACAAAAAGAACTGGTTTTATTTACTGTTAATTCATCTTCCTGTGGATGAAATAACTGAAGCCTAGAGGAATGAACTAGTGCTACTGAACTGTTTAAATTATTTTTGTGTTGATAGTACACTTTGAATATCTTTTTCCACATTAAAAAAACTTTCTGAATTATAAGTTTTCCTTACATTATTTAACAATGTACACTGTTTAAAAAAATAAAAATTCAAACTTCGGGGGTTTCTTAGCAGCCGTTAATTGTACATTTTGCACTAACTCTGGGTGTTGCGCTTCTTGTAAGATTGCGCTTTGTGCTTCAGTTTGTTACCTTTGTAGACTTATTTAATGAAACCATTCAAATAAACCAAACCTGCTTTTGTTGAGCTGTGGGGTTTCATTTACAGAAAATTCCTTCACATTTTCATTGGCACTATTTTAAGTAAGTGCAATTTATAACCGGATTCCTAATTCTTGGGGGCTCTTTGCTACCTCTTCATCTTCCAAAGGAATAGAAACAGTCGGCTGCTGGCTAGTACTTTCAGACTTCCTTATCTCGGTTCACAGCTTCCCACAATGTGTCTGTGAGCCAAAAAAAAGTCACTGCTTCAAGATAGGCACAGCCCAGTCCAAAACACGTCTTTAAAAAAACTAAATTGGCTGGGCGCAGTGGCTCATACCTGTAATCCTAGCACTTACTTTGGGAGGCCAAAGCAGGCAGATCACTTGAGGTCAGGCATTCTAGACCAGCCTGGCCAACATTGAGAAACCGTGTCCACTAAAAAGACAAAAAAGCTGGGTATGGTCACGGCACCCGTAATCCCAGCTACTCAGGAGCCTGAGGCAGGAGAATCGCTTGAACCCGGAAGGTGAAGGTTGAAGTGGGCCGATACCGCACCACTGCACTCCAGCCTGAGATGCAGAGAGACACCCTCTCAAAAATAAAATAATAAAATTGCAAATTCATTATTTGGGGGAAAAAAATTTAAAACATCTAAACAGTATGAAAAGCCAATTTATGGTCAAGGTGGGTTACATCTCACATTTGAAATGCAGAAGTACAAACAAACAGTTGCAGCTTGAGCATCCCTAATCGAAATGCTCTGAGATCTGAAAGTTTCTCAGCACTGACGTGGAAAATTCCACAAAGCACCAGGCACAAAACAGTTTATTCAGCAACCCTCAGAGAAAAAAGGACTCAGCCCCCTTCAGCTGCAGTATATCTTATACACAGACTTTGTCGCATGCATAAAATTATGTGTATGAGGTATATATGAAACAGGTGAATTCCACGTTCAGGCTTGGGTCCCCTCCACAAGGTCTCGTTAAGTATATACAAATATTCAAAAAATGCAAAAAAATTCTGGTTTCAAGCATTTCAGATAAGGGATACGCAATATGTATATTTTCTGTTTTCTTATAAAGTATACAATTTGCTTTCTCAAAATGCCTTTTCTGGCTGGACACAGTGGCTCACACCAGTAATAACTGCATTTTGTAAGGCGGAGGTGGGAGGATCACTTGAGCCCAGGAGGTCGAGCTGTTTGCACCAACCACACTCCAGTCTGGGTGACACAGCAAGACCCTGTCTCAAAAAAAAAAAAGTTTTTCCTTGACCTTAGATGATTATTTCCTTCTTAGGGAAAAATGTCAGTCTTGAAAGAATGCAGGATTGTAATGTCATAAACCCATAAATTAGTTTATTTAGATTAAATGAAGATTGTAGCCTAGATTGATACAAAGTAGTAAAAAGCACTACTCCAACTGTTTGCCTGTCATGATCCACAGTGCTTAAAGTGGACAACATTAAAGGCATAGGGCCTTAAAGGAAAGAAGGCAGAGGTTATGCAAAACAATTGAATGTAGGCAATTGCTAAGGCAGGTGCTTAGTACTAAGTCTGGCCTATATTGCTTGAGGGCAAGCAGCCATTGGTGATTTCTAAAATGTCCATCTTCTTTATTAACAATAGTTTAGTAATAAATAGTGGGAAGCCTCACAAGCCAAAGAAAAGATATTTCATCCATCCAGCGCCTCTCCCTACTAGAGTGGAGGACAAGCTTTTTTTCTGAGACAGTCTCACTCTCACCCAGGCTGGAGTGCAGTGGCGCAATCTCAGCTCACTGCAACCTCTGCCTCCCAGGTTCAAGCAGTTCTCTGCCTCAGCCTCCCGAGTAGCTGGGACTACAAATGCCCACCACCACACCCAGCTATTTTTTTGTATTTTTAGTAGAGACAGGGTTTCACCATCTTCGCTAGGCTGGTCTTGAACTCCTGACCTGGTGATCCACCTGCCTCGGCCTCCCAAAGTGCTGGGATTACAGGCATGAGCCACCTAGCCCAGTTGGGGACAAGCTTTTTAAAAGTGCTCAGCTCTAACTGCAGTAGGCTCTCAGTCAGATCCTCTTGAGAAGGTTCAGAATGAAGCAAGATAAATCCTTAGCAGTAAAGTTCATTCTCCAGGAGTGATGAACGATTTCATGACAAAAATGTAGTTTTCCAAAGTCCCTTTGTGACAAGGTCCAATCATGTGGCCTGAGCCTCAGTTAAGATGGATCATACTTCCTTTTCTTCATGTCCTGGCTCTTCCTGTGAGATTCCCAGTTTCCTGTGGAAGACAAAATGGCTTAAATGTAACTGCCATGGTTACAATAAACTGACATCTAATGATTTCTGGATTTTATTAGTTAATGATCCTAATTTAGACTAAGCCCAAGAATGAGAATTTCTGTTGGGAGGAAGGCAGATCATTTTCCTAGACCAAGTGGCATCGTGCTCATGACAGCCCTGCTGCTAGGAGGGCAAGCTGTCCATGCAATGGCGCTTCTGCTTCCTGCTACTATCAAGTGCTGAAAAGGGCTGCACCTGAATTCAGGAGCCCAAAGGAAAAGTTCTGGCTCTCAAACCAGGCCCCCGGTTATCTTCCACTTGCAGTGCTAGTCCCTGGGAATTATTCTATCGAAATGAAACGTCATCCTTCCTCAAAAATTCCCAGAATTAAAGCTAGGTTCCCCTTTAATTTTTGCTCCTAAACACCTCTCTGCTACCTGTTATGCACTGGTCAGTGCTATACGTCTGAAGGTCCGAAGGTCCAGATTTCGCTTGTGGTTTCTGGTGGCAAAGGCTGTGTGGAGTCCTGTCCTGGGTCACCGTCTGGTTGTTCAAGGCTAGTGTGTCAGAGGTCTGGGGTGGGTCTGCTCTAGACAAGGGCTTGACCACACCATCCCCTGCATCTGGAGTCATAGCCCACTTTAAAGAGTTGTCTTCAAGAGTCTCTACAAAGGAAAGGAAAAGTGTATCATCAGCAAATAATGAAGTATTCTCACGAAAGCACTGGAAAAACTGGCCATCAGAAATTCCATGTCGAGTGCTTT